TAGTGTTGCGGTCTCATTACATGTTGGGCATGCAGAGATACTTCCATTATTATTAACGTTGGCTGTCTTATCGAACGCAGTTCTTCTCTTGAGCATAACTGGAGTATGAGCTGACTCATTTATGCTGTTGCAAGAGGAATCTGCTTTCAGTGTCACTAGCATTTGGGTATTGTTGATGCACTGTTTCACAGACAGTCGTGTCCGTTCCTTTTTACATGCACTAGCCATATCTAGTTGCATGTCTGATATATAATCAGTCATTTGAGAATTCAATGGCTTTATGATGACGTTAATAACAAAGTCATGATACAGTTACGAAATCGTGCTAAAATGTAACACAATTTCAAACGCACCGCTTTTGGAAGTCAGAGACAACTATGGTTATGTCTATCAGTACGTCTGCAACTAAGTTTAATAGGAAGTGGTAGTGAGTATCCCCGACGAACACCACCAGTTGTCGTCAGTTCAGATGATAACTCTCCATAGGCCCTGAGACGGCTGCATGAGTTCGACTAGACAGCTTTGACTGGCGTTGTACACTTGCTCGGTACTCCCTTTACAGTCAGACACTGCAGCAACACCTCATAGTCAGCAGTGTCAAGTTTCTCCGGGCCACCTAATTTAGACAGGGTTGGTGGAAGGCCCAGTCGTAGATGTATTTTTAGGACTACTTAAGCGGAAGGGACATCGTCCATTCCACCTAACACTGCTTCAGAACCAGATGATCACGTGGGACATAATTGAAGACGGCTCGGAATGACTGAACCCGGGGGATAGGAAGGTAAGCAACCGGCCCATATCATCTTTCTCAAATTGATCTAAGACTGACGGTTTCTCACACTGCGCCATGCTTGCCGTTGAGCTACTAACAGAATGGGTTACGGTACATCCGCACTGAAGTGGACAGAGTGAGGTTGACCTGGAGAAGTGTAGGAAACTGGGACAACTCAACTTGTTCACCCTGGCGTATCCAAGGAAAAGAGGCGACCTGATGGTAACCTAGAAGATTATCCGCCAAGGATTCACCTTTTGCTGTTGGAATGAAAGTACGAGAAACAGGCAGAAGTGAGATCCAGATCATGAGGAAGAAAGGAAGGTCTAAAAGTGGTGGGATTCCACGTGATAACGAAAACTCATCTAAGCATCTTTATCATCTTGTACACAAATATACGCATTTCTCCAGACAAGTGGACTGAATTTGGTAAGGTAGTAAGCGCGGAAAGCCCTAACATCGTTGCTATCTCGTGAACGTGGCTGTATTGTGGAACCGGAGACCGTGAAACCCTTGCGGTGACTCACTCCTTTTAGAAGCAACAGGTAGGCACTCAGAGGTAACGGTGTCCTCCTTTACGTGGAGAATACCTTACTCTTAAGAGCCATGGAAGCGATTGCACATGAAAGCTGGACGTGTGTGATACTGCACTACCGACAGAAATGCAAGCAGGTAGGTTTTAGCCTAATCTTAATATATCGAAGCGCCGAATGTGAACAGCAGACTTCCTCATGACTAAGCTAACTCTGTGGACTGATAGCTGAAGGTACCTAGTTGCAGGAGGCTTCGACGCACCGCCAGTTGACCAGGATCAACTTACAATGGAACTACAATGTAATTCCCTTGATCGGACAGTTACAGTTAGGCAAAACATGTCGGCATCGACTGTCGGGCCTTCTAGATGCAAACCATGGGTAGTAAGAAAAATAAACGGAAATTATCGAATTCATAAACACCACCTCTTTACTGAAAAGTGACATATTCTTGTTTATCTCATATTTCGCGGTTGCTTATAGTCTTTTGATAACAAATGCTGACCCACTTTTTGTACCATCAAAGACCGCTCCTGACTGGCTTTTTTCCTAAATGTTATAAATCTGGTGAAGCCTGTGAGTTGGTTCACCTCACGTTAAATTCCTAAAATCGACAGATTTATTTATTTACTTATCTGCGGGTTGGTGGAAACATAATTTCCTTTGGCCGATAAACAGAATATTAGAGGGAAACCAAATATGATCATTGGGATGCTCAGTCATTTCTAGACTTCACGTTTTCGCACACAAGTACTGAAAGCTTCATCGAACACCTTGTATCTTCTTGTGAAAGTGATCATGTTGTGGGCATTTTCAGACCCACAGCAGCCTTTCAGTGCCAGGTCGTCACCCCCACCCAGACCCAATGCATAGAAGGCGAATATGGCAGCTTTTAACTTTGGCAACCTCTCCGGCAGGCTGGACAGACGATCCGGTGATCCCATCCGAAACTGCACAGTCCTCCTTTAGACATTCACACATACGAGTGACTCAGTCGTTCATTTCGTGAACTGTTCCAAAGGGGCGGAAAGTCTTTCCCCCATAAACAAATCGTGAAATCCGAATCTTGAAACGACGCGAGCAGAAAAATTGGGGTCTTGCCACCCAATCCGGTTCTCCAGAGAAGCCCAGAATAAATGTATTGCCATTCTCCTCCAGTCTTGAGTATGCTTCGGAACGTAACTTGCGCATCCTGGACTGCAACACCCAAGGAGGTCATTTTCCTGCGTGAACTATAGGAATATGACGTCTCGTGACATACAAGCCCTAATCATAGAGATAGAAGCTGGTCGTTAAACTAAAGACAATGCGGACAAGGCACAAGCTACGGGTGGACATTCAGCCAAGATCTTTACACAGGAAGCTTCCACGGGCAATAATTCAACGGTAGAAACATTGATGTCCAACAGAATTAAGTCTGCGGACGTCGACCGAAATGACGTATTCAAGACATTATGTACTCTGGAAATCAAAAAATAGGCCGAACTGGGTGGGTTGCGCCCAATGCCTCTAAGACAGCCTGCGCCCTATGTAACCAGTGTGGTCACCAATAGGCTTGAACTTTCCTTTGTTGAAGACACTGCCTTATAATTGGAAGGACACTATAGTTATACCTGTCTGAAAGGCAGGTCCAAGACGGCGCTCATCAAATTACGGACTGAAACTTTTGACTTGCACTAGGGCAGAAATTCTAGGAAGGGTGATCAAAAAACCCATTACAGCCCACTTAGAGAGCAACACTCTATTGTCTGTTTCGCAGCATGCCTTTTCTTGGGAATTTCACTTGGTTGGCGAACCTCGCAGTCAAAGAAAGTGGAGTTAAGTCTATGGGTGACAAGATACCTGTAGGTATAGTCGCCGTAGTCTTCAGAAGGGCGTCCGGCAAGGTACTTCAATCCGTGTTGCGCGGAAAACTGGAAAGTTTCGGAATCACTGGTATTCTACTGCCCAGAGAAATGGCTGGTTCTAATCGACATAAGTGAATGGGTGAGGATAGACGCAGGGCACACAGACGGCACCATTTTCAGTAATGACAGCGTGCCTGCAACCTTAGCAAGGACCTATAATTACCTAAGAGCCACTGTGAGTTGTGATCGAAGACCGCGGCGCACTGTCAACTAGTCACAGCCAGGAATTTCGGGATACATTGGGTGGTACGTAGAACTTTTACAAAAATAAGTTATATGTTCACCGCCTTAGACACGTCTGTGGTCAGGTCTAAACCAGAAATCTGTGAAAAAGCGGAAAAATCTTGTACGAAGGTGACTTTGATTTCCTGGAAAGCTTTCAAAGGGTAACCACCCGTATGATCCCTTAGACGACTGGCCTGACTCAATGAAACTTAAACTATTCCCTTTATCCTACAGCAGACATAGGTGCTATACAGGTGTAGCGTCATACACTTCCCCAAAATCAATAGCCTAGGGTTTGACGACTTTCGACATTGATGCTGACCTTGATAGTTTAACTGGACTCGCTAAGCTGAAGGCACCCGGTCAAGCATCCTCGCCATTTGGCACGCTGTCGTGTTACGTTGCATTGCTCGTATTCGACTCTCTAGCCAGTTAGTTGGAACGCGTTGGTATTTTGGCATAACCATCCAAATATACTATTCCATCCGACTACGCTACCGTGTTCTTCCTTGGTCTAGTATTCGTGGGTATATAACAGGTTCGAATAATTAGTGATTGGTCTTTGCGTCTGTCAAGTTCGCACCAGGACAAATCCTAAACAGGTATTTAAGCAATGAATTCAAACCCGGTCAATTTTCGTTTTTTCTTCTGACAAGTCAGAACAACTCATGCGGCATAGCAGAAGAGTGTAAAAACGAAGGACCGATGTAGCCGCCGTAGACTACTGCTTCACGCGCCGTGCAATCAGCTTCTTGAAAAGAATGCCAGAAGAAGCGGTCTCCACATCACCAATTGGCCGGTCCAAAAGAAGACTTACCAAGTGCAGAGATCTACTGGAAAAGGATAAATAGGTTCATAGTCCTGTATCCACAAACTACAAATCTTAATCTTAATCTTACCACCCAAGCAGGACAACATTACTGGCCGGGAGCCGATTCTCACGGGAACTCACTTGCACACTCCCTCATAGAGCAAATGCGAGAGTCAGGTCAAACTACTTCTCACAAACAGTATGTGCCTTATGGAACGCTGTGCCGAAAGAAGTAGCCATAATCACATCAGTTGACTGCCGGATAAGTACGTGAACGCAAACAGCTTACCACGAAAGTTCGCCGGTAGCGACTGGAGGCATGCTGATTCACCCCTGTGTCCCTCAGCCACTGTGCCCCCAATAAGATCCATCTCTCCTCCGCATTGATACTAGTAACAGTTATTTTTCCGTAAGTATTTTTCACTCCACTTCTTCCAGTTCTCTACTCACCATATTTCTAGCACTACCTTTTAAGTGACACTTAGTACTTACTTGCAAGTGTTTACAAAAAGCAGGACATGCAAAAGGTTAATTTGTCTTATCAGCAGGTACACTGCCCTTTCCAAACAAACCAAGCTACAACTTGCCAAAATAACTTAAAGTAGGCGAACACTACCTCCAAAGTTACAAGCAGGAAAAAAATAAAGACTTCTGCGACAATTGAAAGAGTATGTCCTAAAAAAAGAACCGAGCCTCAACACTTAGAAGAGTGAGTTCAAAAACTACTAGTTCTCTCCACTCTCAGTACTAGTGTCGGATATTGGAGGCAAATTTAATGTGTATATGTGGCGGCTTTTGATTTGCAATGTTGATGAGTTAACTTACTGTTAATATGTCAGCGAGTTTGCAACAGTGGATACACCGTGATTCACAACTAGCTCCTGATGCTGGAGTTACATATGAACTGCGTTACGTAGGTGCTATGCCAGTACTAACATCTATCAAGTCTGTTGACTTAAGTACCAGGACTCAAATTTGTCGGTAAATTGAAGTTTTTTAGTGATACTGTGGTAATATCATTCTCTTCTTGCGCTAGTAAACCATCTCCTTGTTGGGGCCATTTTTAGGATGGATTATTCATGCGTGAATATTATCATAATCATATATGATCATGAACGGTTTAAGGAACTTCATAAAATTATGTAAAGTATCTCAGAATGGCTTCATAATAGGCACAAAGTACTGCAGTATATGTACATTTACGTGTTGTATTGCTCAGCCGTAAGCTTTTTTGCACAATAACCTAGAAGTTACCGAATAGCGCACAGTCTTTGTCAGCTTGGTAACTATATTTATCTTTGGTATACTCACACATACCTTAAGATATTGTCGACGGATTATTATACGTGGTTCAATTAATATGCAATGAAACACGTAAATATACGTATACTGCAATACAAAAACTTTCTGCAGAACTTCGTGCTTATCACGAAGCTATTCTAAGGTGCTTTACATAATTTTATGAAGATCTCTAAACTACTCAGAGTTTTTTGTAGAACCTTTCAACGTCATTCTTTGGGTACGTCATTTCGCCATTTCTTCTCCCATCCAAGGTATTCATGGGACAGAGGTCTATAAAGGGAAGTTATTGATGAAATCCTGGTAGACAGCATTTTTTGACACCAGAATAGCGTTAACAAATCGGGTCGCCGACTACAGTTTATCCTTTCCTCCCTCTACTAGGGTTAGGGTCGCTGTTGCGAAACCAGTCCTGCATCTCCATGATACCCTTATCCGTTTCCAAAATCGCTATCATTGCTTTTTGTAGATATCGGGAAGTAGCTGAGGAAATGAATGTATGTGATATCTACACTTATGAATAACAGCTGTTAGACGGTTTTTTTCGTACAGTGGATGACCATTATTTATTTATTAGTCCCTTGGGTTCCTAGTAGAATATAGGGCTTCAGTAGCACGTCTCCAGTGAACTCTGTTCTCTGAAATCTTTTGAACCTGGCTCCACAACAGCCCAGAAGCTCTCATTTCCTCCTCGCACGATCTCCTCCATGTTACCCTCGGACGTCCCACTCGTCGCTTCCCATGGGGATTCCACTCGAGGGCCTGACGCGTGATGTCCCCAGTCGGCTTTCTCAGTGTATGCCCAATCCATCTCCACTTCCTTCTACATATTTGTTGAGCGATAGGTTCTTGATTGGTTCGTTCCCACAGCTCCTTGTTGCTTATTCCTTCTGGCCATCTAATCTTCAGTAGCGAGCGTAAGCAGTTGTTGATGAATGTCTGTAGTTTATTGGAAATCCCTCGTAATGCGCCAAGTCTCTGAACCATCACATAGCAGCACTGACTTGACGTTGGTGTTGAAAATCCGGATCTTGTTCCACATGCTGAGTGCAGTGCAGAAGATCTCCACACTGGTTTCAGGCTAATGAACACCTGTCTTGCTTTTCCGATCCTGGCTGGCTTTGACATCCTCGTCTGTGCCACCGCCGCCTGTAGTTGAAACAGTGCTTCCTAGATAGATGAAGGGGGTCACTTCCTTTAAGTTTCTCCCGTTGATAGTGACTGGAGTTTGTTGTTGTTGTTGTTGGTGGTGGTGGTGGTGCGGTATCTTCATCACTTCTGTCTTCTCTATATTCACTTGAAGTCCCGTTTTCGCTGCCTCTTCTGTCAACTTGTTAGTTTTTGCCTGTAGATCTTCAAGTTTATGTGACATCAGGCACAAGTCATCATCGGCGAAATCCAAGTCTTCTAGGTTCTTTTCCGCAGTAGTGGATGACCATGAGTACCTCATATTGTATTCTGGTGAGAATACAGTGCCCACGACTTCTCGCACAGACCCTGACATATGACCTGATTAAACTGAGAATTTCGTTGCACACATCAGCACAATACTTCGGATCTGATAGCATTCTCTCTGTGTCATGCATCTTTCAGTCATTATTTAGATGCTACCTTTCAAGAGAGCTTGTCGATCACGTTGCTTTTTCCAATATAGACTTCTATAAGCCTTTTGACCATATTTGTCAGGTAACCGGTCTGCTCAGTAAGCTGAAAATTGCAGGAATAAAGGGAAAACTTGCTTGCAAATCCTTGGACGTTACAGTAGTTGTCAGCTTGCGTTTGAGCATGTGGTTCTGCAGTCGAATACCGTCATCAATTCATGCCAAGGTTTTTCAGAGGTAAGATATTTCGGTGATGTTAAGTGGGGTGGTGATAAAGTACTGGTCAAGAATTATTCCTAGTGTGTTTGGACTTTATGAAAGAAGAGCTTGACGGATTTAAGTAACGTATTTCCTCACCTTAAGCTAGATCATACAGAGTGACTCAGCAAATAAGTAAATATAAAGAGATCTGCAAAATTGTTATGCAGTTGTGATAGCAGGTCTTTCAAATAAACCGTCTAAATAAAGCACAAATAATCTACACTCAATCGCTTCCCACTTTTCAACGTCAATTAACGATCGACACTTATGTTGGAATTTCTTAGTTTTGTTTATGAGAATTATTCTTTAATGCACTGCTTCTATCACGTGATGATCCATGCTGTTCTGTCTGCTGCATGCCATCTTTTTCGGCATCACAATAAGCCGACGAAAGATTTCTGGGCATTACAAGTGCATTAAACCCATGGAGAATGCTTTAATCATGTCTAAAGTTCGCCTTAAAAAAGGTGATTTCAGTCGATTGTGTAAACTATTCTTCATTCAACGGAAATCTGCGTCATTTTAATTCGATCGACATCCTCAGGAAACACCATTCTATTTGCATCGCGACAAGTTTGTTACACATCAATATATATATATATATATATATATATATATATATATATATATATATATATATATATATATATATATATATATCAATGGCAAGGCTGTAGATAACCATGACCAAACTGGTTTATTGTGCAGTTTACATCAATCTCCGAATGTTGAAGCAACCAGCTTAAAGGTTACATGGCTTCAGAATAACCGAGTTACTTGTGGCCCATTGGTCGAGGCACTTGGGTATTAACCAGTGGGTTACGGACTCAAGTCTTACTTCACCTATCAAGGTTTTGACAGCCGATTACTATCAGTAGCCCTCATACAGCAGGTTTAGTTTATTGGCTGTTGCATAAGTGTGTACATGATTACTGCGAGTTTATTTTTCTTGCAGCGAAGTAAGTTATTGCAATGAATAAGAGCGTTCTAGAAGCAACTGTTTAGCGATTCAAGACAGTGCATATAGGTCACAAATTTAGTGAATAACGAGTGGCTAAATAAAAAATTGCTTTCAAAATTGTAGCGAATAGACAGTATACTTCAGATGTAAATGACTAAGCTACTAGTATTACAGAAGTCAGGAAGGGAAGACTGTTCTCCATCATTGGATTCCCCAATTTCCTATAGGTTAAAACTGTATTGTGATGGCTGCAGCAAAATCAACTCAGCTTATAACTAGTATCATGTAGTCTGAAACAAGCCTCAAAATCTAGGCCATCTTCAGTCCTGTAATGTGATCCCACTAATAGATGCCACCTCGACGTAGCGATTGGCCTTGTATATCACAATAATAGCAGCCTACGCTGGCTAAAACAACTGTTCCTTGTGGTCCTAGCATCCTAAAAAAGTTTGGTGAGTAGTGATAATACTAAAAGTAGTTGCCATTATGGTGTAAACTGCTACTCTGTAATGAATGGGTCTTAAGGGGGGCATCGTGCTGCTAGCTGGACGAGGCGTGACAGCGACAAGGTGTCCCCCATAGATAAACGGCGGTACCGTCCTGCTGCTACCTTCCTAATGAGAAGAGGAGAGTTAGGAAAAATCAGCCTCAATATGACACGCTTTACACTGCGGTGTTCCGGTGCCGGCGATATGAGACTTTCCTGTCCGGCACTAGCACAATCCAATCTGGATCAACCAATCCTGTAAAGGCTGCGTGACTGGCCTCAAGCAGATGTCCCGTGGGCTCTCAGATAACGCTAAGCCAACCTCTTTTACATTGCAGAAACAACTTCGATAGGGTCGAAAGCCGAGAAGTATCAACGCCCGTATGCTTCCAGAAGTATACGAAACCCCATCAACCATAATCTACACTTCTTACCTTTGTCTTTTCCATTGCCTTCACCTCCTGATGTCAGCACTAGGCTTCATACAGTTTCTTCAACCTCTAACTGTGCAGCCATTGGTAATGATCAAAGCCAGTGAAGACACCTTCCCCAGTCTCCTAAAGCCCTGTTGTAGATTTCACATTGCAGCTTTCAACTTCCGAACCACATGGCAAATCCAACAGCAGGCATGTCTTGCCAAAAATCTGAAATCTCTATCCGTGGATGTATGCTGTGTTTCTGAGATACGCATACGGGATCCAAATGCGGTTATTCACTTGATCTCATCTAGTCAATGTAGCAAATTTGCGAAATCTACTCTACTATCGTCCAGAGATTCGATGGCTAGCAGCTCCCGTGAGCTCGCTAGTGTAGTTATAGCACTAAGTTCCCGAGCAGAAGTACGCTTCGTGGCTGGGATACCAGTCAAAAACCTTCTAGTGGTGTCCGACTTGATGGGTCTGCTAAAAATGGATGGGATCAGGACACGTAACGATATCTACTTGAAGTCTTTACCTTCACGGCCACACTACCGTTCGAATGATGTGGCACATGAGCACCACCACCGAAGAATTAACAACTACAATTGTTTCTTGTAATTTTTTCTTGAGTCACTTGTTTTTGACAAGCAGTAGCTTAACGAATAAGGAGGGGCAGTGTCTCACCTTAGATCCACCGACATCAAACTAACACTGAACACAGACAAATCATGTTGCTACTAGTCACCTTTAGAGAGGATCAATAGAAGACTGTCCTTTTTCTGGAGTACCTCCTAAGACTCTGTTCGTTTATCAGTGTGGACGCGTTTATGTTCACTCAGATGTAAGAGGCAATCAGTAATGAAGTCGGCTTGACTGGAAAATGAAAATGTTGCATAGGAGATAGCTAAGCACTTATATAAACAATTTTCTTGCTGATGAGGACTGGCCTAATCAATCTGCTGTAGAAACTGTCGTAAAGACAGCTGTTAATCTAAATCCGAAGGTTAACAAATCTAGTGAACTTACTGCAGCATGATATGGAATGATTGGTCGGAGAAAACCCGTTCCAACTGGTTTTAACCACAATGAAAAGCGGAAACAACTTAAATGTAAATTAACCGAGAGTCTCCGCAACGATCACGAGCAATAGTGGGTGGTGAAACTGAGGGAAATGGAGAAGGCGTTTGTGTTGGGTAGTGGTCAGGAACAGTTTAAAATTATTAAGGATTTAAGCTGATTCCAAAATACATAAATTTTCCATGAGTATATTTATTGAAGATGCTGAAAAAGAGACGATGGTTAGTGAAATCAACACCAAGAGGAATAAGATCCTGACCGTCTATCAGAACAGATGGCTATAATGTTGACTGGAACACTTTTACGCAGTTTAACCAGTCCACAGCAATGCTTCAGTTGCCCAACATCCAACCCGAGGCTGAATAGGATGTAGATGTCGGTCTTCTGACTCTCTTTAAAGTAGGCCCTTTCAAACCTGAAACGATGCAAAGCGGTAAAACTTAACGTTTTACCACCCGAAGTCTTAAAGGATGGAGGTAGAAAATTGCTGATTCAAGTAACGGGAGTTCAAGGTAATGTGTGGGAATCAGAGGTAGTCACATTAGATTGACCTACTTCACTGATCATCCCACTCTACAAGAAAGGAGAGAAATCATGTAACAAACATACGAGAATTATGATGATCAATGTCGTGTACAAGATCCTAAGATCTTAACCTATTCTATCCCTACTTGAAACTCAAGAAAATCAGGTAGGTTTCAGACCTCGGAAGGAGTGCGTCTATCATGTGTTCATCCTCCGAAAGGTCCTGGGATACAGGCATACCTACCAGCCAATGGCTGACACTTGAAATATTTCCTAACCTGAAGACGGCATTTGACACTGTCGACTGTGAGGTGTTGCGGCAGTGTCTGGCTGTGAAGGGAGTACCGAGCAAGTGTACAACGCCAGTCAAAGCTGTCTAGTCGAACTCATGCAGCCGTCTCAGGGCCTATGGAGAGTTATCATCTGAACTGACGACAACTGGTGGTGTTCGTCGGGGATACTCACTACCACTTCCTATTAAACTTAGTTGCAGACGTACTGATAGACATAATCATAGTTGCCTCTGACTTCACGCGATTGACCCACCCTCTGGAGGTCACCTGGTTAACCTGGAGTATGCAGACGTTATTGTCATGATAGGTGAAGACGCTGACAAGATGTAGGGTCTTCTGGACATGTTAAGCATAAATCTGAGTGTTTGGCATTCGTCTCGCACCTGTTAAACGTAAGATGATGCCTCAGGACTGGCCTTCTGCAAGCACTTCCAGCTTACCAATAGGGCATGAAGAGGTGGAGTGTATCGACCACCTCACTTGCTTGAGGAGTTGCATCAGCTCAAACGGGCTAGTTGCCGACGAAATCTCAGCCCGGATACAGAAGGCTCGTTTGACATTCGCCAACTTGCGCAAACTGTCGAGGTGTTCTATTACCTACTAAAGGACGAGTATGCTGCGCTGCAGTTTATTCCATGCTTTTGTACGGCTGTGAGAAACTCCCATTGAAAGTAAATGATGTAAAGGAATAACAGGTTTTCAAACACATGTCTGCATAATATTGATCACGTGTAATCAATCAACTTAATATCAATATGAGATCAGGCATCATTTGGTAACGGTCCAAAGTGCTACAAGTTATATCGGCGCAACAAGTAATAAAGTGGTACGATGAAAGATGCAGAAAAGTTAGTCAAAAACAGTAAAAGAGAGTACCGAGGAATGAAAAAACGCTTAATTCAGTATAGTGATTAAGACGAAGTTAAAGTGTGGATACATCTGCGCAACTGACACTGATTCTCAGCTACAGCACCTAGAGTATCCAACCACTAATTACTGTTGTTACATGTACCCCAACCGGCTAGTCCACATCTTTCAACATGGCTCAAATCAGCATTTAAGAACTTCATGTTGGGATGCCATGTTTTAGTCTGGCTGCACCGAGCCTTTTTACAGCCTGAAACTACTTCAGCTGATATCGCACAACGGGGCAGACTTTGGCTAGACATTCGTAACACATATCCCAGCCATTTAAGTCGTTGTAGGTTCACCACTTTGTCAACTAAATTTCTTCTCCTCTGTAATACTCAGCACCTGACTTCTGCGTTGTGATAGTACTGCGGCATTTCGTATGTTACGAGGGCAGTGGTGGCCAAACACCTGAAGCCTTTTCATGTCTACCTTTGATGGTCGTGTTTTACAGCCATACAGTAAAACAGGTTGGACTGCAGCACAGTCCAGACGACTCTTAATAGGCGGTCGGATATCACGGTGGCGCCACAGATGGCATATGTTGGCAAAAGCCAAACGAAGCGCTTGCATCCGTGTGAAGATTTCGTCGGCCACTGACCAACGCACCAGAACTGGTCCAACTTCCCAGGTATGTAAAGTGGTCAGTGGACTCAACCACTTCACTCCTTATTGCTAGACAGGATACTACTAAAGACCAGTCCTGGAGCAATAGTTTGCATCTGAGTGGGAGAAAGGCATCCCAGGCATTCTGAAATCGCCACTCAGGGTATTCTAAAGACTTCGAAACTTGTCAGCGTCTTCACCTAACAGGACCGATGGTTAATCTGTGCTGTTAAGGACGGTGTAGACTACCTGGCTTGGGTTCTCTAGAGCATAGGAGTCAGTAATTGGAAATCCTCGTTGATATTACTAGAAGTTGGTCACAGTGCTTTAAATAAATTTACCCTTCGGCGTCTTCTAAAGCGTGAATATTCTCACTAACCTTTGTTTTCAAGTTCATTTTCTCCACATACACCTTTGTTTGCTTTATTTTCACTCTTTCTCTACTCACCTGTTCCTTTCATAGTGGTGTGGTATGCTGCGACTTGAACCATTACGTAGTTCTTTGTGTAGTTCTACGTTGGCTTTGTCTTTCTGTCTGACAGTTTTGAGCCCCACTTTTTCACCGACATTTGGTCAGTTGCATAGTAATGTAAACACCTACAGTCGATTTAACTCATTAACTAGTGTTTTTTAATAATAATTAATTATGTGGATTATGAAAGATTGTTCGTGCAATTTTTTAAAATTCTAACATTTATATTTACTATCGAAATCCCTATATATAGCGCATCTATACGTCGTGTATGTGAAGATGTTGGTTTAAAGTTAACAAATAATCAACCTGTTGGTAAGTCGACGAAACAATTTATCGGACCATCATCTGATATAAAATGGGCTATGACAAATGTGTACCTTACAATCACATCACAAACTCTTACTGTTGAAACACTTGATACTGGCATGGTATGTGACCTAACTAATGCATATTAATTACGTGTATTTTTAACTTTTTGAGCAAAATTTTCACTTAGATAGAGACCGTAACAGAGATATCATCAAGAAATAGTTTGACCAAAAATTTTCTTAAATTGACTTGTTTATTGAGAATTTACTCTTGAAAGTACTTCTTTGTTAATGTGGGACAAGTCGGCGGAGCGAGAGAAGGACAAGTATGGTGGTTAAAGTTGAAATAATGGTTGAATCATCACGGGACTCGAACCGACGACTTACAGATTATAGGTCATGGGATCTATGAGCTGGATAGCATGCCTAAATCATTGTTCATCCTGAAATGCAATTTTATCCACAGTAGCTCTGGGCTTGAAAATTGTTATAGGTAGTTCGTTAGATTAAAAAGTGCCATCAATCCAAGAAGTTCCTAACTGTCGGTCTGAGCTATGTGGGGAAATGTAGGTTTCGAAGATGACAAGTGATATACATATCTGCACGGTTAACTCTTATCTGTTATCCTTTGTGTTCTACAAGTGAATGAATTGCTAACAGCATCAAATGCACGAGAGCTGGCCATTGTGTTGTCGTACATGTTTAAAGTAAATTTTACAGATTCTGCACATCGATGGAGTGAGTAAGTGCAGTTAGGTACATTCGTAACTGGAGATCTTAGACGTTCAGTCAGAAATATCTGTTGTCTGATATGGCGTATGGTTCGAATGTAGTTTGTTGGACCATTGCATCATTCAAACTCGAATACTGTGTCAAGATAGCAACTGTCCGTCGGTTGGTAACACAGTATTTACAGTTGTCATGTTAATATTGACTTACTATTCAATAAACTACACAATTCGACTGTCGATTAAGTCTGCATCGCATTCGAGTTGTCGAAAAATTTATCTAGCTCTCATTTAATTGAATGTGACCTTTGTTTCGCAATCACTACACTAACTGTCTGACTGACTGACGAAATCAACTTGGAACCTAACACACAGGTCCATCGACTCAAGTTGCCACACTTCACAGTAGTACACAAAGAACAGGCGGATAAAAAGTGTTATCAAAGATAAGGTGGTGTAGACGAATAAGCAATCTGAAGATAACGGATAGAGCAAACATTCCGTCTTTAGAAGGTTTCAGGGAGTGAATACATCTGCGCAACTCTGACCAATATCCAGCCATGTCACCAAGAGGCCTCAGCCACTAGTTTCTACCGTCTCAAGGACCACAACCAGGCAGTCTACATCCCCCACATGGCTCAGACCAACAGTCCAGAACTTCATCGACCACTGTCACGTCTTGATCAGACCACCCTGAACCCACTTCTGACCTAATCCGACTTCCCCAGCATTACACGTTGAGGCAGGTGGTGGCACGGCATACACAGCACATGTCCAAGCCACCTCGACCGATAGAGGTTCTCAACCTTGTCAGTCTAGTTGGCTGTTTCGCCCAGTACCGGTCATCTGACATCAACATTGCCCACACGGTGGTTCCACCAAATGCGAGCAGTACTATGAAGATGCATATGATCAAATACCTGGGACCGCTTCATGTCTTCTACTTTTAACAGTCATGTCTAAGAGCCGCACGTATAGACAGAACTAACCGAAGTACAGTATACTTTTCTTTTAATAGACATACAGGAGATCGGAGTCCAAACTGATAGTACAGAAAGAGAGCCAATCCTCCAGCGATGGCTTATAGCAATATGATAATAATAATAATAATTCACTTTATTCCAAACAATTTGTGGTACAATTTGGAATTCTCAGCGTAATATATATTGCAATAACAACAAAATATAAGTTATATACATACTAATTTACAGCCTTTTGAATTGTTTTATTATAAAAATTTAAGTTATGTGAAAAATATTAAAAACGAGAAAATTTTGCATTGTAAGTTAAATTACTGAAATGAGATTTTTAACTGTCACAAAGTTGATACATGATTTCTGTTCTAACACTTTTTTCCTCACAAAATATACGTGCAAGGTAAGGTACAGTCGAATTCTTATACTTAGTTGTACGAGCATACAGTCTTATGTAGTTTCTCTTTGTCCTCCCTAAGGAGATACATGGAGAGAGCTGTAAATGAAGTGGATGCTCACTGTCAGTTAAAATTTCTGTAGCTATTAGCTTGCAGGAATTTATATGTCGATCAACTACAGTGTTAATCAGTTGAGCCAGAGGCACACCACTCACCCTACTGACTGTCTTCAAAGCCCTACGCAACATAACATAGTCCTTTTTAAGAAGACCAGGAAAGATTAACGGGGAACAGCTCACAGAGATGGTGGAGAATATTTGTAGCTCAGGAGTATAGTTTTGACGAAGTTGTGTTCTCCAAACCGGGTTGTTTAATCGTGTGGCTTCCGTTGTCATTCTAAGCAACATCAGCGCAATCATTCTGGATAGAGTGGTGGCCTTCCCTTCCATTAACATCAACTAGCAGTGAAGCGTCATGATATATCTTCTCTCACATCAATGTACACAGATAACTGTGGACATAAACTTGACAGGGGAAATGTCAAAATCCTGGACGGATAGCCAAAATACTAAAAATCCCAGGCTGGTCAGCAATCAAGAACCAACTAATAAGAAACATGAAAGGAGGTGAAATTTCAGGTCATTCGTACAACTAATTGAAATAAATATGAAGACAATGACAAGACCGGCGAAAACACACAAGGTCATCAGGATAAGCTACTTAATCTTAGTTGTATTGTGTTCTCTGAGTTGTTTATTCGTGGAGCTTCCATCGTCTTTCCAGACGACATCTTCAGCACTAACTCCAGTATGAAGTGAGTTGTCAATATTTCTCCCTGACGAACTGTTTTGTGATTGGTTGTCTCCTTTAATTGTTATGTCACTGGCTGTACATATTTTCCTGTTGGCTGTTCTCTGCTTTACCTCTGACCTTTCTGTCGTTGGTCATTTTTCCCATTGGTTGGTAGATTGGGTCTATGTCTATGCATCTATTGATTGCTGACACCTGAATGCCAAGCTTCTAGGAATTCTCTGACATTCTTTATGTTTCCTCTATCCAAAATTTCTACATTGTCAAAACTGCATTCATGTGCATAATTGTCCATGTGCATTGAAATGAGTAATGAAATGTCGTGATGTTTAATAGCCAATTGGTGTTCATGTAGACTAAGGCGAAGAGGAAGACCACTTTGTCCAATGTAGTGTTGACTACAGTTATTGCAGTTGATTTTTTAAATGATGATAGGAGACTAGGAATGAGGTTTCAATCGTTGGCAATGGTTGCAGAATGAGAGGTTGGGTAAGGCGTAAGGAGCCTAATATTAGTATTAAGAGGTGAAGGTAAAGGAGGAGACAGTTGAAGAGCGGAAGTTATGTTTGATTGGGTCTTGTGTACTAATGGAAGCGTCCCGGCGGTTGTCACTTCCCAGCTGCCCTAACCATGGAAGACTATTTCTTCTTAAGGTATCTGAAAGAGAAATAGACTTGTGTGGTCTCAGAGACCATGGAAAACCTGCTCGAGGCGTGTCACATAGCCTTTTGTGGGTTGTTTTGGGGTTAAGTTGTTCTAACGCCGGACGAGGAGAATCCATACTAGGAGACGGTGGCGCATGGTGGAGTATGTTACTTTTAGAGCCGATCTCTTCTAACGCTCCCTTCCGTTGAGAAGCCAGCACCAGCGTGACATTGCAGGTCATCCAAGGAAAACACCTTACTGCTGTCACACCTCATCCAACCAGACCATCAGACCTTCATCAAAGTATATTAATTCACACTACAACGGTAACTGCTCTCCGTCTTAACACTATCCAATAGGTCTTTTTGACATGGTAGGATTTTGAGGGAACACGCGTTCCACCAGCATAGCTCATTGGGTCATCGTGACCACCACGTCAAGATAGAAGCTATCCCAATATAAATTAAATTCAGCTTTTTAGCGTGAAAAAAATGGTTGACTGACGAAAAAAACCTTACTTAAGTAAACACGGAATTTTGGTTACTACTTGAATATCGTAGCGGCAGTGATTACCTAGAAATTCTTGCAAAGTCGAAACACTTCTAGGTTACTAAATTGAGTAATCTGGTTGTGGTTGAGAAAGAGATTTAAGGTTAGGCGAAATTATATGATGGGAAAGACCAGTTTACCTCAATGTGTGACATGTAAATATCAGCTAGCAATGGTCCTAAGGGACTTTCCATAGCCACACCATCTATTTGTCGAAAATGTTCACCTTCAAATGTGAAATGAACTTTATCAGTACACAATAATAACAGCTCTCTCAAACCCTTTGAGGGGATAGGTAAAGAGGGATTACATCACATTTTTTAGATAATTTACGTCTTCTAATTACATTATCCACTTTCATCTTTATCTTCTGGAAATATAACAATGTTTTGTTGAATAATCAAGCAAAGTTGTGTCATTATCGTAGCTTTGAACTTAAATCTTCGAAATTGAAAAAGATGACAGTAACGTATAAGATGACGAAAATATCTGCTTTTTATTTAACCATGTAATGCTCAACTGACCAAAGTTCAGAAAGTAGGTTATGTTCTGTAACCATTCATGGTCAGTCGTTTTTAGAGAAAACAACTATTCAATTTTATTTTTCGTTCAGTGTCCACTTTTCCTTTTTTTTAGTCATTTAATTCTGGTTTATATTTTATGTACCTAGCTGTTGTTCCAGCACAACCTCTTCCTAGTTTCTTTTGCTTCTGCTGGAGATGGAGAAACTTTGGATTTCATTTGTTATGTAGCTAAAACAGATCAAGATACTCGTATGTGCTATGTTTTTGAATGTCCGGGTGGCCTTGCTCAGGATGTAATAATTACAATTGGACAAGCATTCCAATTAGGATATCAGGTAAAAAGGTGTATCGTTTTTTACATATGTCTGTCAGTTGTTAACCGTATGTTTCTTCAACTCTAAGTAGATTTGTGTCATTCCATTGTTTCGAGTGATCTAGTCCTTTATTCAAAAATTATATGTTTACCTACTTGTGTATTTCATCCATTTGACTGTCTTGACAAACTTGAATAAAGCACAAACAAACAGATTCGTAGGATAAATTTATGTCATTTTACTTCACAAATATTCATCAACTGTATACAAGCTAAAATTTTAACGTAGCTAAAGTATATTACGTACTTAAAAACAAATAATTTTGTTGTAATTTCAAGTTGCATGCAGTTGATTCTCCGTGATATGAAATGGTGTAATTTCATTCTACGACTCTGTTCTCTCTTGCTTTGTTAAAATATAGATATCGTTCATTTTACGAATGATTTTTAAAAGGAAGCTGAGTCATTTGATAAACATCATCGTTGTCTTGAAAACTAAGATGTGCATTACTAAGATTCTTCAATAAAACAAATCAGCTATCTAAAGTGCCCTCTTGCTTTCAATAGTTTCATAGCTTATAGTAGTTCTCATTGTGTCCAAAATAATATTGCAATGTATATTTTTCAAATGACACTTTCTTAATTCGCATAATACAAAGAATTGACCAGACAAATATCTTTTAGAATCAAGGCATTCCCTCTTAATTATTTTGGTAAGCGACCAGTGGTACACATTTGAAGTTCGACATAGACTGGGCTCACTAAATAATTCAGTCATTTTCGAAATTATGACCAAGGAAATCTAATATTGTGTGTACAAGTAAGTAAATCCGTAGTATTCTTGTTATAGACTAAATCATTAAAAAAGTAGAGGTACAACCTATTGGCAGTATATAACGCCTATTCATCTACTTGGTTTTAAATAGTTAGGTAGTAACAGAAGCCCTCATGAACATTGTGTGACTCATTAACTAGTGAGTTGAACATCATGAGGTTTCTGAGTTGCGTTATTTAGATTTGATTCGTACCAAACTATGCAAGAATTAGAAAGGTTTTCAAAACCCTCACCTAATACAAGATTCAAATGTTTTTAAATGCTATAACCCATATTTTTTTCGTTATTTTTTTGCTGAAATCCCCATGAAATATTGGTTGCTTGCTTGACTCGATAAACCAGGTTGATATGGTGACTTATAGGTGTAAGTTTTCAGCAAATGAGTCATTTGTTCAAACTGCACTCTTTTGTTCAAGGTTCGAGCAGTTATTGTCTTTACACTTCACATATATGTAATTTTTGTTCTTTCCATGGAGCTGTACCTGTTTACTTAGTTACGCCGTATTTCCAGTGAAAATACCTTCATATTTTCACTAATATTTAATGGGAAATGCTGCATGAAAGCCCCTATTTTTTAAATCTGTCTTGAATTCTGTAAATATCTTAAGATAAAATAAAGAAAGCTTTCGCTGTGAATAATATTTTTTCAGTCAGGTGTTTTCGATTCACTGATTACTCTAGAGTTTTGACAGATGATTGTCATCAAATACAGAAAAATTATTTTATCTTCATTTGATAATTCCCACGAATGAACACCCGTAGTCCCATATGATTGACTGACGCTCCTGTAAGTACTGCAACGAGCCCTGGCATTTAGCCAACGTTGGTTGATGAAAACTACATTTAAATCGACCACAGACCACCCAACCAAAAAATGATTCAACACTAACTACAGACTAAATTTTAGGTGAGCTTGTTCGAGTACCAATGGAAACGCAGACATTTAGGATCAACCAGGTTCGGAATAAGTGTGCATGGTGATGGATAACATTTTATGATAGTCCCTTTAAGTCAGAAGTTAATAGAAATTCAGGAATTTGGAATATTAGATTCCAAAGCATAAGTATAGCCATAATATACTCACCGTAAGACATGAAGGCTGCAGTTAGATCCGGCACAGGGATACTTCTACACAATATACCCATAATAAAGTCACGGAAATTTATAAAGCAACAATAACTAGGATACGGACTGTCTACTTTAGAATAATACAATTAGTAGTAGTAGCATAAATGATAATACGAATGTTCAGAATGACACGATACAATGTAAGCAGGTGTTCAGACAGACAAAGTAGGTCAACTCTTGGAAAAGGACCATAAGGTTGCTTAATACTGGAGGAGGAAGGCAGTGAATAAATAAAGTTTGAATGTGAATATAGTAGTGATGTGAAAGAGTTAACAAAAATAAAAAAGGGAAGAAGTGCATCGTAAAATCCATAGATAAGGGCATTCATTAAGTTTTTCCTTGGTCAATGAAGAGATAAAGGCCGTACAAATTTCTTCTGAATATAAAGCCTCAGATTGTTCATTTGAATACCTATTGTTTCAGTTATATGTAAAAGGCGAGTTCGAACTCCGTCGGAGAGGTTCTGTAAGATTCTGTAAAACACTTTAAACGCTCTTGTCTTGTTCACTCTGTGACCGCTGTCAACTAGGTGCGACAAAATAGAGTTTCTTATAGATTTAACCTATCCTTCTGCCAACCACGAAGGTAGGTATTCGGTAATACGTTGGTTAAGTTCCCTAGTCGTAAGGCCGATATAACTATTTCCACAGGAGCAATGAAATTGGTAAATACACATGGAAGCAGCAAAACTAGGTAACTTGTCCTTCGTTTGACACGAAACAAATTGTCGACTAGAAAAAGGGTAGACGGAGATTAGCTGCCCAAAAGTTCTTTCAATGGTTCTCAATAGTCTATGAAATAGGATCACACTAAGTATATCTCCATTAAACTGTGGCTTTATGAATAGTGTCTTCGTCTGAACATTTGCTGCTTCAGGTCTTTTTCCTAATCAATTCATATTCTTTTTTATAAAATTGTGGGGATAACCTATTTCAGCCAATGAATTTTGAAATGCACTCTAAGTCACCGTGTAGAGTGTCATCTAAGTAGGTTTTCCTTTCTCTGATGGTCAAACATTTCACTAAACCTCTTTTGTACCATATAGGTGTGGAACTAAGGAAGTGTGTGTATTGACATGGAAATTTGCTTCTGTACACGCTTCTGCAAAGTGATCCATATCCTCGTCTACTTAATGGAACACCAAAGAAATTTAGCCTATTGCTATGTTCACAAGTGAACAGTGTATGTTGTTAAGATTCCTCGGTGGTTTGTTCTTATTTGTATTTTGGTCAGTGATAATAAAAGCGTTATCCACGTACCTGTTATACAGATCTAGCTTGTTGATGTCATTCTTTGATGGTCCACTGTCTAGTTTGACCAGAAAGAAGTCTTGCAAGGATTGAGCCTAATGGCGAGCTCATTACAGTCCCATCCACTTGTCTGTAACATGTATTATTATAAAAAAAATTGTACATTCATTGTACACCTAAGAAGTAATTCCTTAAGGTTAGATTCAGGAATTCCAATGTTGATTTATTTCTGTATCACTTGTTAACGTGTGAAATCAACTGTCTTGATTGGGTTCTCTGAGCTGGATGGTTTAATCGTGAAGCTTTCATTGTCTTTCTAGACAATATCACCAGCACTAACTTCAATATGAAGTGAGCTGTCAATATCTCTCTATGAGTGATTCAGTAGCTTGTCCTGACAAACTGGTTCATGATTAGTTGTTTTCTTTGGTTTTTGTGTCCTCGACTACATAGATTTTGTTGCTGGCTGTTTCTCTGCCTGACATCTAATGTTTTTGCTGTTTATCGTTTTTCTTATTGGCTAGTAGATTGAGTCTATGTCTATCCAACCCATTGATTGCTGACTGACCTGAATCCCAAGCTCCTGGGAACTCTTTGATATTCTTTATGTTTCCTCTGTTTAAGATTTCTACATTGTCAAAATTAAGTTCATCGTTATCGTTATCAACTTGCATTGAAATGTCGTGATGTTTAATAGCCAATTGGTGTTCATGTAGAGACAAAGGCGAAGAGGGCGACTCCTTTGTCGAATGTATTGTTGATCACAACTACAGTTGATTTCGTAAATGATATCTGGTTTGTTTTCTGTGACTGTTGCGTCCATTGATCTGTATAATATAGTTTGAAGGGAACTGGTTAGTTTGTAAGCCACACGAGAAATCTTGTCATGATCTCTAACATACTCTTCATCTACGGTAGGATGATCTGTTTGTATTCGCCTTCATTTAGATGTTTCTTGGGAAATCATTGTCTGATATTCTCTGAGCTCTAGTATATGATCATGGTCATGTGGTCAGAATAAGTGACATCAGAAAGATTTCTATTTAACATTATGCATAAATAGTATTATCAACGGTAAGAATAAAATGTTGGCGACCAAACGTCAAAACCATTTCTTAGCTGGAAATCTACTTTGTTTGGTGACTACATACAAGTTGTATCCTATTGTAGCTATTTACCTAGTAATACCGAAGCATATAGTCAACCACCTGACTTATGAAAAATGTGATTAGCTCGACCATATGGATTTTTTTGAAAAACTTGAGATGATAAATGTGAGGAAAGACTCAATAAGCAGTTAGTTTTGAGTCAATTCAAACAAACATTAACTGGTTAGTAGTCAGCTATTTGCTAATACAACACATACGTTTTTCCATGTTAGATTTGTTTATTCGATATAGCATGCAGTGATACAGTATTATTTACTTCATGATGTTTCGAGCATAAATTATTGCTCATCATCATATGAGTGTCATATGTTGTATGAATGTCACATTGATATGATCATAAACAATAATTTATGATCGAAACATGAAGTTAATAATCCTGTATAACTATGTGGCATATCAAACAAGCTAATCTAATATTGAATTACCTTCTTCCATAGTGCCCAAGTTTCACACTTGTATTAATAAGACCTATGGCCTGTGACCTCTTCACCGCTCGATAGACTCACAGTGTTAAACCTCTTTGCAGGAAATCAAAATAATTACTGCTTTAAATTTATGAGATGTGATTGAGTTGGTTATCACTAGACCACTTTATTCACTGTTGACTAGACAGTCTTATGAACTTCAATCAGGATTTCAAGAATTCCAAGGTAGAAAGTATTAGTAACCAGACATTCTCATCACCAAAACCAACTTCTTTGGACTCCTTATTTTCTAATCAGCGTCATTTTCAATCAACAGCAGCAAAATCTGATAACTCGAACCCTCATAGTTTTTCTTTTGTGAATAGTTCAAATAAATCAGTATCCAATCAAGGTACTAATTCTACGCACCATGACGCTTCAATTGTAAGTTACTTTTGTTACTTTCATACCATTTATTATTCGACACATAAAATACTTGTCATTTTGTTTTGTTCTGTTCCACTTTAACACGACTTATGAAAGTATTTAGTTATTGATCAGTAACACCATTTTAGTATTTACTAGTGCACATTCCTACTGTTAAAATGGTGAATAGATATCTGTTTTTGAAGTAAATGTGCACACTGAATGGTTTTCAGTACCAGATAGCGGTGAAATTCAGGATGTATATGTTTTGTCTTATTTTAAACTCGTTAAGAAGGTTTTGTTGACTCTCACTGGTTGCTGATATTAACACAAGAGATATTAACCCAGTATGCAAATGGTTAGTAAATAAATAAGTAGGTACAGTTTAGAAACTACATACAGTCTTATGTAGCTAGTCAAACCTCCTACATTGAGGACACAAAGTATTACCCGACGGCTCAGACCGATGCTGATAGAATGCGGTAGTATCATTCCCGATTTTTTTGTTTTCGGAGTCTGAGTAGCTAAATAAAAGGAATTTTCGTAGTTATCACTTCGATAAAGAAGTTTATTCATTCTTCTTTGTGATGATCGTTCTATCAACTGCCAAGTTTATGGGCTTTATATTTTCATACATCTTGACACCTAACAATCTTCACTGATCATTATAGTATTCTCAGTCGCACTAACTTTTACTAGTTAACTTCGTTTTTGGAAGTATGCAAATATTTTGTATAGTGTTCCTTTTAATAAGTTTTCACTTATTGTCTTTTTTCATAGCCTATCGAAAAAGCTTTCTACGCCTATTTTTTCGTATGGCGGTTGTGTACTGCAAGACTTGTATTTAATTCATGTTTATAGGACCATAATACTTTACGTCAGAATTGGTTTCATTATTCTACTATAACCTAAGCGCAGTGACATACCCATTCAAACGTGGTGCTTACGTTCTTTAAAACTTTTGTTACTTACTAGTTGTGCCAAGTTTTTCTACTAAGCATTTTACAATTTTGTTTGTTAACAATAGTTTATACATAAGGTACATGTGATTCTTGTATTTCACAAAGTCAACTCAGTTCATGCACTAATGTTTCAACTCTGCGATATATATCTAGTAACTTTTCAGTTTTAGGTCTTTGCACACATACACACACTTTAATAAAATATTTTGTCTATGTATTGATACTGGTCGACGGATACCTCAGGTTTTGATAAGAATTAAATCAATATTTTTGTATTCATAATCATCTGGTGTCAATGCCTTATTAAGTGTTGTGATTTGTTCGAACCTCTTCTTGAGAACTGTTTTACTTTTAATACTCATATTTCTAATGTATAATCTTTTTATTTTAATATTGTCTTTTTTTGCAGAAATCTGTTACTACATCTTTGTCAAGAAAAGCTGGAGCACTAATGCGAGATAATTATCTGCCTAATAATAATAATCGTGAACTCATTCAATCGGTTGCTTTTGATAACTTCATGGATTTTGAAGATAGTGCATGTAATTTTGGTTTTTCGAAGTATCATTCAAGTGATATATTTTTCTAAAAATGTCGACGGTACGACTAATGCACTTGGATATTTTTTAGAAAAAATATTTAAAGATGAACTGAAATGTTAAATAAATCCATGATGTTATCAGGACCTTGACTACTGACTTTCAGGTTTCGTCGTATACTAAGTCTGAATTACCTCTAACTTAAGATTGTTAGTTTATTTATCCTCTAGATTATGTCTTGTTGCATTTTCTAAGTATGACATAAGGTATCATTGTTTTTTTGTTAGCGAAAATTATACATTCTAACAACCTTAGATCTACAGTTATAAGACAGAACCTGTAAATCGTGCTCTGTCAACTTCAGTCATCTCAACCAGGTATTTTGGTCATCACATATACAAGATCTACCCTATAGCTCTCTCTGTGTATTACCATATGAATTCATAGTCTACATGCAACAAACTAGGCTATGTTTATAAAATAGCTACACAGAAATCCAGTCCACTCACGTTCAGATAAAATAAGACAAGTATCCAATTATTTAATATTCGATTGGAACTTGATCGTGACACTGATTTCAATATTTCAAAAGAAGCGTATTTATGATCTGGTTCTACAGTTGATTCGCACAACAATTGACTAAAGAAATGAACAGCACAGCTATAAATTTCCAAGTCTATCCTCTTTTTATTTTAATGAGTCTTCACCTACGATTGTTAACGAACAAAAATTTCAATTAATCAGGATTTTTTCCCTTGAAAAATATACATAATGCTGCAAATGATGGCATATTGAGTTGTGTTGTAAAGCCCTGCTGTTGTATTGCATTCATCACCAGAATTTCGACCAGCATCAAAGATCACGTAACTATCCCAGATGGCTAGCCGGTTTATATATTAAATCTCTTTATTTTATCCTCAAAGTAAGTCTGTCAAGTGGCCAATGAATTTTCTTGCTTTGCGTTGATGCGCTAGCACCAAGTATGGGATGTTTTTTATGTTATAGTTACTGTCATTAACAGTCACATTTATCTTACGCTCTTGGTGGCGATTCTTTTACATATATCCTCGTTTTTTGTGTACAGGGCTTCTTGAAAATGAAATGTTGACTAGTAATCAAGCAGATAACATGGATTACTGTAAATCATCTTGTGACGCTGCCACAACTTCTGCCCAACTGAAAGTCACAGAAAGTACCCAGCAGCAGCTACCAAAACCCCTCTGTACTACAGATGAAGTGAACAACAGAAAGTCTGATGCAAAAACAGCAGTTGGGTTATCGAATTTCGATCACTTGGAGCCAGTTGGAGAACCTTGGTATGTCGGTAAGATGTCCAGATCACAGGCTGAAAATTTATTGCGTTACGACGGAGACTTCCTTGTGCGTGCGAGCATTCAGCAACCCGGTCAATTTGTCCTCAGTGGTCTTCAAGATGGGAAGTACAGACATTTATTACTGGCTGACCCAAATGGAAAGGTAGCTTCACGTAAAAGCATCATTATCATTAGATTTGAATACCTGTAGATAACATAAACCATTATATTTTTTGGTAGGGCATTGAGAACTCTTTTCATACTGTATGGAAAAATTTGGATAGTTTTTGAGTGACTTTCACTCCATACAGATATCATTCTAGCAGCCATTAAGAATCAAGAAGGTTGTTTCCTTAGCATTACACATTCCTAATCTCTGGAGAGATACGATCTTCGATTATATTGCTTACAGAGTTACTTTTAAAGATTGTAAATGCTAACTATTGGTTTTTGAGCTGATGATGCAGAAGGTAAGCTGCTTTCAGTGAAATTAACAAGTTCACATTGGAAAATAGCTTATGCAACAAAAAAACCAGTTTTCAGTATTGACTGATTTGGAGTGGCTGTACGACTGATATAATTGTGTCCAATGACCAGTTTCATTTTGATTTTAAAAATACACTAGTTTTCGCACTTTTATGTATTTAAATTACCAGTCGATAAGTGACACGGTTTGAATTTAGATTAACAAAACAGAAAGTAATGGAAAGATGATACCAGGTACCCGTTTACATTTTCTGTTTCAACTGCTAGTAAATCATAAAATTTTATTTTACATTAATTCGACCTACTATTTGCTAATATACTCGTGTAAATGCTTGAACAATAACCATTAGATTCCACTTGATGGTTGCTTAATTCCTCGAGAAGTATGAAAGATGGTAAGACCAAAGAAGGTGAATTGTGACGCTAAACTATTTACAAACGACAAAGGTTTGTATATATGTACAACGGACTAAATTATTTCCATCCCTTTTTGGAGGGGAACTTTGTATTGATTTCGTCTGTTCGAGCAGTCTTTTATTAAAACAATTCCTTACTCGAAAGTTGGTTGTGAAAATTTTTTCTCAAAAGGATCTAGACAGTTGTACTGCACACACCATGTCACACATGGTATACGTGGAAAAATTACATGTGGTGTATGAATCAAGCGATTCAGCAATTCCGCGTGATTTCGTAACCGTGAAATGATACTTACCAGTCTCAACTGATAAGAGTCAAAGTCAACTTCCGTAATTGAACAGCAAGCATGTCGTGAACGCCTACAAATACTAGTATGTGTTTTATTTCTTTGGTGAAAGTGTGAATTGCTAGTCGATAAAGCAGTTAGGCGTTCTGTGTAAGTGCTAGTGCTGGAAACTTCATATTTCTACCAGGTTAATATTACTCTTTTATTCTAGAAATGGATGTTGGAATCACAGTTGTCAGTGCTTTAACTTATAGTCATTGTTAGGTTGCATCGTTAGTATTTGCATGCAAGCCTTTGTTTACTAAATCAATAAAACTGTATGAGTCATGCGCTTGATAAATTCACTCGTCGTTTCTCTCAAACGAAGTAAATATAATGTAGTGGGCGTTGCTGATAACAACGGATATAAATAGTATATATCGAGAGGGTGGCAGGAATCATAGGGAATTACAGGTAATGGGTAAGGTTTCTGCCAAGAGCAACGCAGGGGACAACACAGGCGTATTACAGGGGATGCTGCTGATAAGAGTGTATGAAGAGCCGGTCAAGAGCAAATCAAGACAGGGACAGAGAGGAAACGAAGACATTTTCAAATGGCTGCGTTAGTGCAAGGAGTACCATATGTAACCACAACCATTCTAATTCTTCCTAATATGCATTCTCTCGTCGAGTTGTCTTCTTTTTCTTCAAATAACAGCGTCTATATTAGCAACAGTCTCTACAGTTCGGAATAAGTTAAAAAGGTAACATTCGGGGAAAAAAGAAAACGTTCCAGTCAAGTGATGTATGATGAGGTGTTGTTTCATGAATTTGCATTCATTTGATTTGGAAAGTGTTCTGGATCTGTTAAACCCTCAACTTTTGACTGATTCAAGTTTCTTAAAAGAACTACGTTTAGTTTCGTTCAGTCGTAGTGTTTCAAGATTCGATTATTGCAATCAAATGTTTTATTGTTGCATAAATGTTTTATTTTCAAATTTTAGGTGCGTACGAAGGAACGTGTCTTCGACAGTATACAGCATCTTATTGACTATCATGTACAAAACGGTGCTCCTATTCGTTCTTTGGACAGTGAAATAAAATTGATATTTCCTGTATCTACGCATACATTTTGCATTACTTGATTACATCGGTGATTTAAAATGTCTTACATGTAAGTCGATATTATATATTTTAGATTTTCATTTGACCATCTAAAATAGCCGCACTTTGGCCGACTGGTACTTACAATCATCACCCAGTATATTTAGATTTGTAATGATTTCTTATCTGTTTCACTCTGTAACCATTTGACTCTCGGTGTGCACATTTCTGAAACTAATTCTCTATGACCTTTGTTTAGTATATTGTCTGAAGTATTGGTAATGAATGTTCCTCATTAAAGATAGTCTTTACGATTGCCTATAAAAAAATAGTACTTGTAACGCGATGTAGAAGTTAACTCTCAATCACGTAGAAGTATGCACAAGTTGATCACTGGAGAGTAACCAAGTTCATTGTTGTGTAGTCCTGAGTGCTGACCGAATCCTATCGATCATTTTTGCAGTTTGGCCACCAAGCCAAGACCCATCGTCTCGTTGAACTTTAATAGATGTTAGTTAGGTTGGTTGAAGGCAATCGGCAAGAAAGCCTGTCTCATCTAGGTTTATTGATTCTTGTCAGTCGTCAATAAGGCGTACCTGCAGCCTCGAGGGAACTGATGTATTGCGTAATATTTGAATCCGCTTCACCCCATTGCTACCATTATAGGCGTTACCACTGAGTAACTCGGGCTCATTAGTATATAGACATTCAACTGTCAACTAGTGGGTCGCAGGTTCGAAACTTATTCCGCCTTCCAACGTCTGGCCACCAAGCTGATATCATTGGCCCCTCACACTGGCGTTCACTGCCTAGTGCACAAACGTGCATGTGACTATTGAGTGTATTTCAGTTATGATATTTATAGGGCTGTTATACATTTTCATTGTAAACTTATCTACTGCATGGTTAATGTTTTTATCTCATCACCCGTAGGCCGTCGTACTTACACAATTTTCAAATAGTAATGTGTAGTTGACTACACTACTATTGTTTTGATAGAAAATCCACTATCTTTTATTTCAGAATTCCTGAAAAATTTGCGTACATACACAACATAACTTTAGTCCCAACTGTGATCCATGGATATTATGTAACTGTTTATCCCAATAGTGATTGATAGATAACTCTGTTCTAATTATTTTTAGTTTCGTGACATTCCAAAACTTATGTACATTTATTCATTTTTCTTTCTTTTGTACTTCACCTATACCACATAATGTTGGGCTGTGATTCTCATCACTGAACTTATTTTACTTTTTGTGATTCTCATTGTGATTGTGATTCTCATCACTGAACTTATTTTACTTTTTGACTAGCGTTTGTTTATTTTTTCCAAATAAATGACGAAGCTTTCCTTAGTGAGCTTCTTTTTCATAAATTTGGTATTTTTATATGATATCGAAAACAGAACTATCATTAGTTGGCTTTCGTATACAGGTACTATCTGAAACAGCTGGCTTAGAAGAACGACTTCACAATAAACAGGCAAAAGAAGAGCTCTCTAAATAACTGGTCAAATAGTTCAGAATGAATCCTAGTTGGTCAGATGTATCCATACACTGTCTTCATCTCAGTTGCCATACCAAATTGTGTTGTTGCTTTACCCCTCCTTCCCATCTAATTGTGACTGTCTAATATTTTTGATTACTTCCTCACTTCTCTACCTCTCATTTTGGTGCATTTTAATTTAACATGCTAATGTTAATAGTGGCAAATTGAATCGTTACCCCCTTAATACGGTTTCCCTTGTTGATGTCAACTAACTAACTTGCCAGTTTCATTTGTCTAGTTAGAGTATTCACTCATGAATATGACCTACATGTAAGTATTTATAATCGCAAACTATGTGCGGTAACCTTAAAGTGAAGGTTAATGGGTGAGAGTTATCTGTATGGACCATTGAAGTTATTTAGTTTGCCAACATTAAATGCAACTCTGAATAATTTTTGTGACAGTGTTTACGACATTGAATATTCATTTTACAAATTATAATTCAGGTGACTGAGATTTGTAATCACAGTGAGTGTACCCTCAGATTATACTTAGTCTATAATCGGTTTTTCAACGACAAATTTTTTTATTCGAAAACATTGAAGTGATATTAAGTTAACCATACACTAAACTGGACTTTACTGGCTCACAAATTGATAATAGCTGACTCACAGCACTCAAATGAGAACTGACCTTAAATATCAACCAAATAAAAAAGCTGATTGCGACTGCGGCATTAAAAAAACCGTACTTATTTATGAAAGATAGCATATGGGTAACAGCACACTAGGAATGAGGTACGTTTATATTGACACTACTTATTAACCTGCATCTCAGTAGTAGGCATAGCAACGTTGAAAAACCAAGTGACAACTACAGGTAAGAAGACAGAATGTACAGCACAAGAACGCAGCACACTGGCATGAAGAAAGCATTCTTCTTCTCTTCATGCCAGTGTGCAGCGCTCTTCTGCTCTACATTCCGTCTGCTTCCCTGTAGTTTAATACTTTTGTCCCGATATATAGCTGCTACCTTGACGTGGTGGTCGGGCTTGCATATCACAATGACCCAACGAGCTGTGCTGGTGAAACACTTGTTCACTCGAAGTCCTACCATACCAGAAAGGTCTGTTGCATAGTGGTTAGAAGAAAAGCAGTTACTGTTGTGGTGTAAATTGCTACACTATGATGGGGGTCTGAGGGCGAAGTCGTACTGCTGCTAGCTGGATGGGGTGTGACAGCAGTAAGGTGTTTCCCTTGGATGACCAGCAGTACCATGCTGATGCTGCCTCCTCAGTGGAAGGGGGGGTTAGAAAAGGTCGGCCCCAGAAATAACACACTCCACCATGCCCCACGGTCTGCCTGGTCGGCGGTGTTGGTTCACTTGTCGTTTCCTTTTGCTCATCCGGCCCCAAAAATACAAAAGTTCAAAATAATCATACTCAAAAGGCTACGTACTACAGGCCACAAGCAGATGTCCGATGGGCTCTGTGTTCACACAAATCTCTTTCAGGTAGCTTAAGAAGAAATAGCCTTCCACAGTGTGGGCAGCAGGGAGGTGTCAACCGCCCTCACAACTCGGTCAGCACTCAAGTTTCCTCAGACTGCTATCCACCTCTCCCATAATTACCTTCTGATCTTCCTTCACGTCTCTCAACTAACAATACTACATCATCTTCAATTTCTCCTAGCTCTGTAGTCATCGACAACGATCTGAGTCCACAAAACAGCATCCTTCGTCTCCTTAAACCACGCTCCAAATCACATATTGGAGCCTTCAATGTCTGCACCCTTCGTCAAATTGGTCGACAGGCTTTGTCGAAAAACTCTAGCAACTCGGGCCATCGATGTGTGCTGTGTTTGTGAGACACGCATACAGGACCCAAGTGCGGTTATTCACCTGACCTTTCCTGACCAATCTGGTGAATCCGCAAAACTCACCCTTCGAGTGTCTGGAGATTCGATAGCTAGCTCTCGCGGTTTTGCAGGTGTAGTTATAGCACTAAACACTAGGGCAGAAAACTCACTATTAGACTAGATCCCAGTTGATAGTCACCTCTGCGCTATGCGGCTGAACGGCACGGTGAGAACTAAAAGGAATAGTGAGACTCACCGTTGTCTCTTCGTAACCTCTGCTTACGCACCCACTGATTGCAGTTCGGATGAAGTGAAGGACGAGTTCTACCATAAACTGTCTAACCTCCTCTCGAAAGCCAAACGTTCGGACGTGATGGTTGTTGCAGGTGACTTCAACGCACAGGTAGGTAGACTGACTGAGGCAAAGGCACTTTCGGAATCCCAGCTGAACGTACAGATAACGGTGATCACCTATTACAACTATGCTCAGATAACCGCCTATTTTTAGCCAGCACCAATTTCAGACATAAAAAAGACACTGTCTGACGTGGCGTCCACCGAGCTCAACTCAGCGATGGACACAGATAGACCACATTGCTATTAGTCATCCCTGGAGAGGATCGGTGGAAGACTGCCGCTCCGTCTGCAGTACGTGTTTGGATAGTGACCACACGTTGGTCCGAGCCCGTATATGCCTGCATCTCAATGGACGTAGAAAACATTTGGCAACAAAACCACTACGAGTGCCGCTGGAAAACGGAAACACCAAAGCTGTGTTCAGTGAGAAGTTGGTTAGGCAGTTATCGAAACAGAAGACTATCACTCATCCAGAAGAAGCTTGGTGCCATCTCCAGTCTGCTGTAAGAGCAGCGTTGAAGACTGTAGCCGACTCCAGAATAGTGGCTAAAAAGAGCCAGTGGATATCAGCAGCTTCTTCCGAACTAATGGATGCACGTGAACGCATCCCTGCAGGCTCTGAGTACAATGAAGAGCGAGTGCAACTTAAATGTAGATTGAGAAAACGTCTGCGCAAAGATCGCAAACAGTGATAGCACCAATGCATGAAGTCTCTGGCTGTTGGTTTGAGCCATGTAGGGCGATGCAGGCTAGGTGGTTGGGGTCCGCGGGACAAGCGGAACCGGTTGTTGATGATATGGCTCAGAACCGATGTCAGTGGCGCAGATGTATACACACATTATCCTCATCTTAACTACACTATACCGAATCTCACCATCTTGTCATTCTTTTCTTCTTCTGGTGCTTTATATTTCTTCTGACTGCATTCTCTTCATCCTTCACCTCACTACCTTTCTACTTGATGGACTGTACTGAGTCGTGGCAACTCGGACAGTTACGCAGTAGTGCCCCTGGTCCTATGTTGCTTTGATGGTGATTAATACATTCCAGAGAAGTCTCTGCAGCTCCTTCTGACTTCTCTCTTCACCTTGACGTGCTCATTTCTTTAGTCAGTAGAAGCTAGCGAGTCCTTATAAATGATTGTACGGCTGCATTTTCGTTCACCTCGGAGCCTGTTAACTTAGTCTCAAGTAAACGAGTAATCCACCTGAGTTGCGTATCGTTTTCAACAGCCTAAAGCGACGAATATTTCCAGAAAATAATAATTGTTGGCTGTTAACCTTCAGAAAATACAGTTGCTGACATTTCCACAAAACAACGTACAAGAATTAGTATATTAACACTTTAATTTCCTCAAACTCTTCGTTAACCTCATTGGTATGCCTTCAGACACCAACGATTCTAAGCGGCTGCATATTTCAATGCAGCCGTGTGCAGATCACCTCCTATTAAGTACTATTTTTAGGTACATTAATGTGCTTATTGGCATCATTTCTGTGTCACTCAATTCTAGACTCAAATGGATCAAAGCAATCAGCTAAAGATAGCACATTTGTTCAGGATTACTTGCCCTTGTAATGCGTGTGCCTGTTCTCTGCTCACACTTCATTATGCTAAGTTCTCCTTGCGTCTTGGTGGTCATCCTAATTGTCTAAAACGGGCCAATATAAGTGATTGGTCGCCCTCAGCATTCAGGCAGAAGGTCAAATCGAGCTAAGTTCAAGGTTAGCAGTCGAACCTTCAGAAAGTGCAGACCGACACTGGCTTTACCTACGAATGCCAAGAAAGCGGCGAGAAACCACTTGTCGTTTCGAAGGACGTCTCGATGATAAGCACTGGGATCCTGTGAGCTCTTTGACCCTCGTCGATCTGTTCCAGCACTTAACGAGCCTAGTAGTATTTGTAATTCCCTTACACTGAGGATCGTGCAGCCCTGGCGTAACAACGATGCTTATTGTTTACAACCTGTCAGTGGGATGGGAGCAGCAGCTGCATCTGACAATGGTTAGTTGTTCCGTTTCATCTGAAACAGTAGGAAACTTGGAATCAGCGAGGCGATCTGCGATGCAGTTGGGACGCTGTACAGAGCATTTCGAAATGAAATTCACCAGAGCGGGGGGGTGCTATGACGATTATTTCAACGTCTTGTGCTTCATGATTAAGGAAGTGGAGATCCGCAAACAACTTGAAGTACTACAGCGTTATGAGACGCCCAGACAAGTTACCTATGGCACTTTTTAGAGATGAATGTGATAAAATAATGCTCTGGGGACTGACTAACGCTATAGCAGATTACGATAGACTGAAGGTGCTACATCTTTCAAGAACGATTCATTGTTACGCCTATCTTTAAACAGGTCTAAGTCACGTATGTGACAATCGGTATACTCAAAAATATTAGCTGCTATCATAAGTCGCAGGCTCTGCGAACTGCATTAAAAATGACACCGTGTGCAAGCTGGGTTTCATTCTGATCGTGAGTGTATCGAGCTCGTTTTCACTCTCCTGCAGGCGCTCAGAAACTGAATATTCCAGGTCAACTAGACCACCTTTTGGGAGTAGGTCAGTCGCTGTGAAGTCAGAGGCAACTATGGTTGTCTATTAGTACGTCTGCAACTAAGTTAAATAGGAGGTGGCAGTGAGCATCCCCGACGGACACCACCAGTTGTCGTCAATTCAGATGATAACTCTCCATAGGCCCTGAGACGGCTGCATGAGTTCGACTAGACAGCTTTGACTGGCGTTGTACACTTGCTCGGTACTCCCTTCACAGCCAGACACTGCCGCAACACCTCACAGTCGACAGAGTCAAATGCCGTCTTCAGGTTAGGAAATATTTCAGGTGTCAGCCATTGGCTGGTAGGTATGCCTGTATCCCAGGACCTTTCGGAGGATGAACACATGATAGACGCACTCCTTCCGAGGTCTGAAACCTACCTGATTTTCTTGAGTTTCAAGTAGGGATAGAATAGGTTAAGATCTTAGGATCTTGTACACGACATTGATCATCATAATTCTCGTATGTTTGTTACATGATTTCTCTCTCTTCTTGTTCTAACCATCCGTCTGAATAGATTAGGATCCCATTCTTCTTAGTGATGATCTCACTAACCATCGTTTTCTTCAAGCATCTTTATTATGCTTGGACAGTTGCAGAGTGAGATCGAATGCTGTCTTCTCTATCTCACTCGCTTTCACTATTCACCACTGCTCGTGATCGTTGCAAAGATTCTTGGTTAAGTTTACGTTCAAGTCGCTTTCAGATGTATATTGCTTTCGTAGGGTGAGTCGATTGCTTACGATGGATACGTGTAATTCTAAGGTGAAGCGGTATGTTTGGGCGTGACGAAGATAAATAGTTATTGAGTGAAATCACCTCAAAACACTGGCGTCCGTAGCTTGGATGTGATACGAATGACACCTCAGAGGTTTACATACCGACCACCGTTCATCATGAGTTTGGTTAGACGAAGAATATAGGCAACCGAGGGTTGCAGGATATTTGTGTTAGCCTCTGTTGGTATGAGATGAACTAGTGGCTTAAAAGAATGGCCTATGAATAAGGACCAAAGCTGGCAGAAATCATGCTTTAGTTTTTTTTTTCGTTTTCGAAAAGCAAAGTAGTGAATGCTTTTCTGAATTTATTCGTGAGACCACCTATCTAATATCGCATTCTATTTTTGTTCCTGTTCTCCTTTTTTACCTCTTTTACATTTTCTTGATGTTATTATTTTCGTGTGACGCATTTCTTGTGCTTTGAATGAATAAATACAAATAAACAACCATCAATTTATGTTCGCGTGAAATTGTTTAGAAGAATGAAACGCCTGGGACGAATGCTTGGTATTTACAGCTTTACAGTTCTCTCATGTTTCGTAAGTTTTAGTAATTACTGTATGTTTCGCTTTTAAGCTGCGAACTTCATCAACGCTGTTTAATGTTACATGATAGTATTTCGAAAATGTTTATGCATCCCAATCGTAGTGAGTTTCATTGGTACAGTTTACGATACATCCACCTTCTGTGCATTAAATTGAGATTTATAGGGGGCACTGTTAAATATTGACAAAAACTACAAGTTTTTTCTAGTATCCTCTCTTCTTCTGTGATGCTTCGCTACCAAACACCTCAGTATGCTAAATACAGTTTTCCTAGGTACGTGCTACCTATAACTGGTAGGTTTGATCATTTAAAGTAGTTTTAGTTGGTTCAATACATTAAATTTCTCTTCACAGTTGCTTTTCTTACCAATCACCGAGAAATACCTGAAAATAGGTAATATAATACTACGTTTCTACAGGAAAATTGAACCGCTATGGAATATGCTCTTTCCAACAACCCTACCTCATTATATTGAAAAGCTTTAAATGTCATGTGAAGTGATACCGATTACTTTGTGATACTCGAAAAGCCTAAGGCAAGCGTAGTAGGTTGCCACATATCCGACCTGGTTCATAGCCTAGCGCAATGAAATATATGTAGTCACTGAATGATGTAAAATTAACATTCAGACCACTAGCTAATCTAAACGTTGATTTTACATGCTTCGACTTTAATCAAACGTTACGCTGGTAAACCAATTTTACTGAACCTATTAGTCACAACTATAGCTGTAATGATATTTTAACTTAAATGTCGTTTAGATACATGTAGATTTTTATTTTTTCGAAGGATTGTATAGCTTTAAGTGATGGGCTTGTTCTTCGAATTATTGTTCCCACAATTTAGCTTGTGTTCAGTCAATCAATACATTAGTGACCAAGGCTATACGATACACAAATTAGAATACCTATTTATAATAAGTTAATAGCTGTGAAAGCATAGGAAGAATATGAATTAAGCTGCGACGTAAGATAAACTATAAGCTAGTCATTCTGATTCTGATTTATTAGACACTGAAGCAGGTAAATCAAAATGACGACAGAAACGTTGTCTTAAAACAATGATAAAACTTCGAATATCCTCAGTCCAGTTTAAATGGTTGACAAGCCTTTCTATATCAGGTACGGATGGATAACAGTACAACAGTTCGAAACGATTACGGTTTACAAGGCGTAAGCGACAGCAGCATACAAATCCTGCTTTTCCTACCGATGATTTTGAACAACCATGAAATGCTAACTGAAGTGAACCAGAATGGGTTTTCTGTATTTGAATCCCCAGTAGGCGTTCATAAGGTTCAATCAGCTTATTGATTTGCATCAAAGTGGAATTTTGGTATTCAGATGAAAAAACTGAATCTTGGGAGTGATTTTCAATTTCGATTTGTTTCATGTACGCATTCTAGGAAAATAAATAAAATGAATAGGTTTTACGAAATGACACTAGAAAGTGGTTCACATATTTACTAATTGCAGACGTACCTTAGTAGACTTTAATTTTTCAATGGAAACAGTTAATTCACTAATCGTACGCTTTTTTGCATGGAGTTGAGATATCAGATCATCTATCTGTTCTTCGACATTCAGGAGACGTTCACGTAGCTTGCCAGTAATTTCATACAATTTGGCTGCATGTTGATCTGAAAATCTAAAATCCTTCTCTTCTTCATTTGTAATTGATAGTATATGTTGCAAGAGTGCTAACGGTTTTGAGTAACCATTATCTGTATCTAAGTCGAAATCATCCTGTGTTATGTCGGACATTATCAAGTAATTTGAATTATATCCTGGATGAACAATGATAAAACTAGCAAATTAGTTAGGACGAAAAGATTTATTCGGACACAATTCACAACCAACACCCACTTATTTCCGTCTGAGAACCGAATAATACACTTGTTCCATTTTACAAGCAGGCAATGGGGATAACAAGGTGACACTTTGACTTAGATGGGATACTGGAAGTATGTATTTTATGAATGCTCACAGTGGAAGTTGAAATCTTTTCCAGGTAGCTGATAAGCTTGAAATCTGCTTTCTTTTATTGCCTATCACCACTGGATTTTCTAACTTTCGATTTTTCTGCCCACCAGTGCTCACAAGCATTGCTCAAACTTTTTCCCGATTGACAATTTGGCTGTACCACTCTCCATTGAGCTCGGAAACTACAGGGAAGCAGCAATGTGCATCTTAAGGGTAGGCTTCTCATGCAATCTGCCGCTTATAGACTCCTCAGTTTGTTAACCTCAAGTATATAACATCTTAACTACTGATGTGCAACCGATTGTCTTACTTAAACTTACTTATCAACCATACAAATTCATCTCGCAGTCAAATTTAGTGACCACATTCCACTAAGTCTTAATAAAGTAAGAATACTAAAGTTACGTATGAGGGGATGTATTAGATGAATAATTGGCTGGGTAGGCAACAATGAAAAAAACAAAAATTATACTCCTCAGTCTCGCTCTTCTGAATAAAAATTACACACAACTGTTCTATCTTGAATGGTTGTAATAAACAAGTCGATCAATGAATAAATCATTTGGTAAATTTATGTGCGTTCGTAATTTTCGCGGTTCAATGCACTATGATAATTCAAAAGAAGCTGGTGAGACCCACCAACCTTCCCCTTGGGACCAGTTATTCTTTACCATTTTTTCGACAGTGAATCAAAGGTTGCGTCGGGCTTCTTCAGAATGAACAGTACTGATATATCCTGTTTACTGTCTAGCTATTTCTTCCTCTTGAAAATAACACTGGCATAAGTTGTTGCCACTGCAGTGTTTATGTTTGAAACTCGTGCTTTTTACGAATAAGTGATTGACTGAGTAGTCAAAGTAGGCGATTAGTTGGTGAAAACCAACTTGAGACCTAGTATCAATGTTACAGTTCATAGTGCCCAATTCCGTAGTACCAGCACGCTAATGTACAAGGCAGCAACGCGAAACATACGGAAATAGAGAAAGTAATAAAAGTGGTAGGAAGTTGTGAAAAGAGTACAAAGAACAAAACTCAGCACGACGAAAAAGATGAAGATAATGTATGTATGTACCGACGCTATTGCGATCAATTCTGGGCCAGTAGTTAGAAACTGCATACATTGATGCCATTTTTAGTCTAGTCTCCTCTTACCTTTTTGCAACTTAAACCTACTTCAGCTAACATCTTACGAGACAGACAGTGACTAGGTATGCGTATAACATATCAATGAAGGTTTACAACCGCACCGACTAACGTTCTTCTATCTGAAACTTTCTGCTTGACTCTTTACTGATGTGGCGACACCACAGGCAATGGTGATTGAACACCTCGTTTCTTCATGTCTTCTACCTTTAATGACTATGTTTAACAGACCAGATTTCTACAGAATGGATGAAGTCTCCCACCGCAAGTGCAGTACAATTGCCTAAAAGGTCTACGAAACGAGTTAGGTGTTCAAAAACAAACCAGTGGTACTGATGTGGCTCCAGTTGATCATACTGTAGACCATATTTACCTTGATTCCATACCAGTTGTAGTTGAGATTCTGTTGACTGCTGATAGTTTAAAAAACCTCGACACAACTATCGAGAGCAAGGAAGTATTGTTCAAGAGAAAAGTGGTGAGTGAGAAACAACGTTTTGAAGTTAGCAGAGGTAATGCAAACAGCGATTACACCGGCATCGTCGTCCAGCACATTTAAACGGCAATGAAACTGTACTGTGGTGAAGGCTGGCTAAAAAAATAATCATACTCAAAAGGCTACGTACTACAGGCCACAAGCAGATGTCCGATGGGCTCTGTGTTCACACAAATCTCTTTCAGGTAGCTTAAGAAGAAATAGCCTTCCACAGTGTGGGCAGCAGGGAGGTGTCAACCGCCCTCACAACTCGGTCAGCACTCAAGTTTCCTCAGACTGCTATCCACCTCTCCCATAATTACCTTCTGATCTTCCTTCACGTCTCTCAACTAACAATACTACATCATCTTCAATTTCTCCTAGCTCTGTAGTCATCGACAACGATCTGAGTCCACAAAACAGCATCCTTCGTCTCCTTAAACCACGCTCCAAATCACATATTGGAGCCTTCAATGTCTGCACCCTTCGTCAAATTGGTCGACAGGCTTTGTCGAAAAAAACTCTAGCAACTCGGGCCATCGATGTGTGCTGTGTTTGTGAGACACGCATACAGGACCCAAGTGCGGTTATTCACCTTCCGAAATAATGGATGCACGTGAACGCATCCCTGCAGGCTCTGAGTACAATGAAGAGCCAGCGCAACTTAAAAGTAGATTGAGAAAATGTCTATGCAACGACGGAAAACAGTAGTGGGCAGCGAAGGCCAAGGAGATGGAAAAGGCAGCGGTAGACAGTTATTTAGACTTATTAAGGAGACTAGGGGAAAAGATCAACAACAGTTAGTGTGGCTATGTCGGAGAAGGACGGGTCTGCGATTCACTCGCAGGGGAGACGACTGGGACGATGGGCAGAACACTTCGAGGAACAGTTTAACTAGCCTCCAGCCACGATTGCGTTGCCCGCTATCCAATCGGATCCTGAATGGGACATAGAGACAGGCCCCCCAACACTAGAAGAAGTTGAGAAAGCGGTAAGTATACTGAAACGAGGAAGGACGGCAGGACCAAACGGACTACCTGCTGAGGTATACAAAAATGGTGGTAGAGTGCTCTTAGTCAGGCTAACGGAAGTGTTAGCTAGTATATGGGAATCAAATACGATCCCCTCCAACTGGTCTAAGTCACTCATTATCCCAGTCTTCAAGAAGGGGGAGAAGTCCTCTTGTGATAATCACAGAGGAATCAGCCTGACGAACACAGTGTCCAAAATCCTAGATTCTATAATTCTCCGACGTCTGAGTGGAGCTCGGGAACAACAAGCCTGAGAAAACCAGGCAGGCTTTAGACCTGGCCGCGGGTGTATTGACCAAATATTCACGCTGCGCCAAGTCCTGGAACATAGGCATGCTTACAGACGCCCGACAATAGCTGTATTTCTCGACCTACAGGCGGCATTCGACTCCGTTGATCGAGAAGTCTTTTGTCAATGTCCCTCACTGAAAGGCGTGCCGAGTAAGTACATCACCTTAGTGAAGGCTCTCTACTCGAACACTTGTGGGCATGTTAGAGCCTATGGTGAGATGTCCAGGGAGCCATACTCATCGAGTGGTATCCGTCAAGGATGCCTACTATCTCCATTCTTATTCAATTTCATCATAGATATTCTCTTGAAGGTCTGTCTCTCGTCACCTAATCTCAGGAGAATTTTCGTTAGACCTAGAACATGCAGATGACATGGTCTTGTTAAGTGAAGACGCTGACAAGATGCACAGTCTTCTGAACACTTTGAGTGGGAATTTGAGAATGTTTGGGATGCAGTTCTCACCACCCAAATGCAAATTGTTGCCTCAGGATTGGTCTTCAATGGCGCCACGGCTAACAACAGGGAGTGTAGTGGTTGAGTGTGTTGACCACTTCACTTACCTGGGAAGTAGGATCAACCCCACCCTGGTGGCTCAGTGGTCGATGAAATCTCTGGCTGGCTTTTGCCAATTTGCGCCACCTATGGCACCGCCGTAATATCCGTTTGTCTAGTAAAGGTCGCGTGTACCGCACAGCAGTCCGCTCTGTTCTCCTGTATGGCTGTAAAATATGGCCATTGAAAGTGGAAGATATAAGAAGGCTCCAAGTGTTTGACCACCGTCGCCTTCGTAGTATAGGACGTATTCCGTGGTGTCACCACGTGAGTAATGCAGAAGTCAGGTGTAGGTGTAGAGTGTTAGGGAGAAGAGGTAATTCAGTTGACGAGGTTATGAAACTTCATCGATCGAGATGGTTGGGACACGTACTACGTATGCTCAGTCACCGACTGCCTTGTCACACAAGGTTGGCTGAGGTGGGTCCAGGCTGGAAAAAGGCCCGAGGTGGCCAGACTAAAACATGGCACCAATGCATGAAGTCTCTAACTGTTGGTTTGAGCTATGTAGGGCGATGCAGACTAGGTGGTTGGGGTCCGTGGGACAAGAGGAACCAGTGGTAGAGAATCTAGGTGATATGGCTCAGAACCGATGTCAGTGGCTCAGATGTATACACACATTATCCTCATCTTAACTACACTATACCGAATCTCACCATTTTGTCGCTCCTCTTTCCTTTCGTCTCGTACTTTATATTTCTTTTGACTGCATTCTCTTTTCTGCATCCTTCACCTCACCACCTTTCTACTTGATGTACTGACGTGAGGTGTGGCAACTCGGACCGTTACGCAGTAATGCCTGGTCATATGTTGATAATGATTGATTGATTGAGACATCACCAGTGGGTAACACTCCGCAACCGTTTAAGCTAATTAAAGATAACGGCAAGAAGAAGACGATAGTGAGTGAAACCACAGAAAACGGCAGGACGTCGATAACCTCCCACTACACGCTGCTAGAACGTTGAGCAGAACATTTTGAAGCATAGTTAAACAGACCCTCAGCAATGCTTCAGTTGCCCATCATCCAACCCGAAGCCGAATGGGATGTACATGTCGGTCTTCTGACTCTCTTTAAAGTAGGCCCTTTCAAACCTGAAACTATGCAAAGCGGTAGAACTTAACGTTTTACCACCCGAAGTCTTAAAGGATGGAGGTAGAAAATTGCTGATTCAAGTAACGGGAGTTCAAGGTAATGTGTGGGAATCAGAGGTAGTCACATTAGATTGACCTACTTCACTGATCATCCCACTCTACAAGAAAGGAGAGAAATCATGTAACAAACATACGAGAATTATGATGATCAATGTCGTGTACAAGATCCTAAGATCTTAACCTATTCTATCCCTACTTGAAACTCAAGAAAATCAGGTAGGTTTCAGACCTCGGAAGGAGTACGTCTATCATGTGTTCATCCTCCGAAAGGTCCTGGGATACAGGCATACCTACCAGCCAATGGCTGACACTTGAAATATTTCCTAACCTGAAGACGGCATTTGACACTGTCGACTGTGAGGTGTTGCGGCAGTGTCTGGCTGTGAAGGGAGTACCGAGCAAGTGTACAACGCCAGTCAAAGCTGTCTAGTCGAACTCATGCAGCCATCTCAGGGCCTATGGAGAGTTATCATCTGAATTGACGACAACCAGTGGTGTCTGCCAGGGATACTGTCACCGTTCCTATTTAACTTAGTTGCAGACGTACTAATAGACAACCATAGTTGCCTCTGACTTCACAGCGACTGACCTACTCCCAAAAGGTCGTCTAGTTGACCTGGAATATTCAGACGATATTGTCCTACTAATTGTAGGTGCAGGGTCTTCTGGACGCGTTGAGCAGAAATCAGGGTACGTTTGGCATGTGTTCCGCACCTGTTAAAAGTAAGATGATGCTCCAGGACTGGTCCGCTGCAAGTTCTCCCAGTTTAATGGTAGGGGGTAAAATGGTGGAATGTGTCGACCACTTCACTTACTTGAGGAGTTGTATCAGAATCCAACAAGCTGGTTGTCGACGAAATCTCAGCTCTGGTGCAGAAAGCCTGTTTACCACTTGCCAACTTGCGTCACCTGTTGCACTAACTGGCGAGATATCCGACTATCTATCAAAGGACAGGTATACTGCGCTGCAGTTTGTTCTGTGCTTTTGTACGGCTGTGAGATATAGTCGTTAAAAGTGCAAGACACAAAGCGATTACAGGGTTTCGACTACAGATGTCTTTGTAGCATTGCTCGCGTTTGGTGGGACCACCGTGTGAACAATGTCGAGGTCAGGCGAAGCTTACTAGACAAGTTGATTGACGAGGTTGTGAAACTTCATCGGCTGAGGTGGCTTGGATGTGTGGTGCGCACGTCGAGCCACCACCCACCTCGATGTGCCATCTAATGGAAGTTGGATTAGGTTGGAAAAGTGTTCGAGGTGGCCAGATCAAGACGTGACACCAGTCAATGAATTCCCGGACTGTTGGTATGAGTCGTGTGGTGCGATGTAGACTGCCTGGTTCGGACCCCAAAAACGGAAGGAATCAGTGGTTGAGAGCTGACTCTTGGTTTCGGCTAAAAATCGATCACAATGGCTCAGATGTATTCACTCCTTGACATCTTCGAAAGCTTGAATATTGGCACTAACCGTTATCTTTGGATTGCTTATTCGTTTTCACTACTTTATTTACTTAGATATCACTTTTTCCATTAACCTTCTTTTGTACTACTGCGAGGTGTGGCAACTTGAGCCAATGCACCTATCTGGGAAGTTTGGCGTTAATTGAACCAGTCAGATTAGAAGCCAGGACAGGTGGCTTCAAAGGACGGGGTAATGCAAGTAAGGACATAAGTACCGTGTCTTTTATTTGCAGATAAAGTACAAATTTGGAAAGCCAAACATAATGATGATGACAGGCTACTTCTACAAGACTTAAAAACCTTAGTTGAGTGGTTCAGTAGGTGATCACTGGAGTTAAACACTAATGAATACGCAACCATGCATATTGTTCACGACGACCCATATGATTACATGAATAGTGATATGGCACTATTCATGGTTTCTCAGCGTAAGTACTCAAGTCACTGAAAGTCATGATCCTAAAACTAAAATAAACTGCATTTCATCAACTGCGGGTATTTCTGGTTTTATGATCCCTTCGTAAGGTATTACAGCGTTTTAAGGAGGATATGTTTCGGATATTATATCCGACATTTATCAGAACTCATTCACTTCATAGGCAGAGACAGACAATATCAACATAGGATCTGGTGTTACTAAGTAGCGGTTCAAATTGCCACACCACATCAAGTGAGAATGCAATAAAAAGATATAAAAATCAGTCTAAAGTAGTAAGAAGTCCTCAAAAGAGAGTAAGGAGACAACAGAATGCTGAAATTTAGTATGATGATTAAGATGAAGACAATTTGTGAACATATCTGTCACTGAGATCGACTCTAACTTATGTCACCTAGAGTCGACTTGACCTATTTCCACTATTTTACTGTACACTGAGAAAAGACCTTATACCAGCCTACTGCATCCAACGTAATGACTTGAGTACTCATGTACTTTGATTTCCTTTCCTTTTGGAACTGACTACCTGTGAAAACATCACTGAAGCACCTAAAACCTCTAGTCCAGTCGGTCACGATTGGAGGTCACTTTCCAGCACTTGGTAGTGAACCAGTTGAATTCTGTGCGGGAGGAGCCTGCTACTGCGCGTCTAGACATTTCCAAACTAAGCTCATGACTCTACAAAACTGGACGTTTTGAATGGTAATATGCGTAAATTGGTTCATTCTCAGTTCCAAGAAACCTAAACTTAAAGGTAGCAGTTGTCGCTTTCGAAACTACAGTCCAAAAGTAAAACCATACATGTTCTGACACTAGTTCAGTAAGCATTTACTTTATATAAAGGTCCTAAATAAGACATACATTGCAATCATGAATGTTTAATATTCCTGTCAAAAACCCAGTTTTACTCCGAAGTCTTCGAAAGCCTAATTTCTTAAGGTCTGTGTAGTCCACTCGGTCTGTGACGAACCATTCCAAATTTCTTAATAAATCTGTATTTTGAAATATTGTTTGCTGCAGAATTCCTGTGTAGTAGGATGCGCCCTCATGCTCGAGGAGCACCTTTACAGTGGAGGTGCTTGCGGGAAACTTTGGGGGACTATCTGAAGTCTACGATAATGCCTAAAGTTTCCTAAGTGCACTCATACTAAGTGCTGGCTTGGAGTGTGTAGCGGCCCTAAAGATAGATACTGCTGGATGGAGGTTGAGGCTGATCATCTAACGTTTATTCGTGCAACCAATGCTTATAACCTGCAGTACGAATGAGTCAATAAAAATTTCGGGTGTTATAGAGATTCTACTGCCCCTGAAACCGATGAATTAGCGACATCAGAGCTGAGGAACGGAGTCTCAAAAGTTGTGATGAATTTGATGAAGCGAGTAGCAGTTAGTTGTACCTCAAGAAAACGCTGAGCTCTGTCATATTACCGAGTCTAATGTTGAATCATACAACAATTTTTCGACTGCCCCACTTCAAAAAATTTATGATAATGTGTCTTAAGATCTAATAAGCAGGATACAACAATCACTACTGAGTGTATTGACCTACCAAAGTATTGAAATTGACAAAATATGAAATACAGTCTCAGATTACAACCATCGAAAGACGGTTAGAAAAAGCAACAGTCAACAGCCAGCAGACTGAAAAATGGTTGGATATAAAAGCTACCCCTAAACGAATTCCAGTAGTGGCAGCCAGACTTTAGCGGCCATCCTAGTAAAGATCAAAATGACCAATTAGGTTTCCTAATTTTGATTGGAAAAGCTGATTTTCATAAGACAGAGAAATCTGACTAGTCATATTAGCTGTCTTTAAGGCAATCTTTACAGTTAGTCTTACCATTTGAAATATTTAAATATCGCGCGCTTCCTTCTCCGTTTCAATTTACGTTATCACATATCTTTTTATGGGCTTGTGTGAATGAATTGATTTCTCCGCGCTTGCTTCTAGATGTTGTGGAACGGTTCTGGGTTTTTGGTGCATTTCGATGCAGAGTGTCTACCCACTCGCCTGCTTTATCTGTAGTTAGCCCGACGGGTGGCTAGATGCTGATTAAATTTGTAGGAGTTGTATCATTTTTCCAAGGACTATTGTACAGGTAGGTTCTTCAGAAGTCGTGCCACTAGACAGTTGTTAAGACCGGCCGTAAAAAGAAGATCGAAAGGTTGAATAGATACCCAGTGAAAACGAGGGAGAAGAAGTGTAACAGAGTTGAAAAACCGAAAGAATCAAAGGGTGAAACCTAGGTATATTCAAAGGAGATAACAGTGATAAGTCGAGCCTTAATAAAATTGGTCAGGTCATAGAGCCAGAGGGAAAGGAAAGAGCAAGTAGGGTTATGAGAAGGATTTTGCGATTGAGCGCTCTTTGAATAACGTCCTGCTTTGTCCATCCCCAATCTGAGGGCAATGCTACGATATTTTTCGCCAAAAAAACACCTGTAAGCCATATCGTAAGCGTCAAAGCAATTCACATAGTCAATTGGATACTAGAACTGCTGCACACAGCGACGTAACTATCTTCTCAACTCGGAAATAATTCCTGCTGATTATTCGTAGTCGTCTGGACCCGCCCAGCTGTGACAGTTTTTGGCTCTCTTCGGCGGTCATTCGCCAAGAGATATCCCTCTTGGTCTATAAACACGCACTTACAGTATTTGGTTCAAGTTGCTGATAAAGTGGGAAAGACCTTAGCGTCAAGTTCCTGGTGGTAAGCTATCCACATGACACTTCCTTCTTGTCCCTTACATTATTTATATATTGGCGCCACTTAGCCATAAAACCAGGTCACAAGCTGTTACTCACATAATGAGGTGGGCAGATGGACGGAAACTAGTCTTTGCAGAGAAGATAAGCGCGACAATCTCCACACTACCCCGGATCTATGTATCACTGTCACGCCAGACACAGCATTTATCAAAACCGGTAAACTCACATGGTCAGCGTGACAGTAACACACCTCAAAACATGCCACCAGCAAAAACAAGGGAGGGGGAAATTCGTATAGTTGACACCAACTCACAGAAGGCAAAATATCCAGTCGTCAGCAAAAAGCGAACCTCTTACGACTCCGGTATTTGCAGTGAATAAGTTGTGGGGGTTCAAAAAGCCTTTGGATGCAACATTTATTCAAAATGGGTGCGCTGTAGCAGAGATAAGGGTATACCAAGTCAGTGCTGCAGCCTCATGAGGAAGCATCTGTGTAAGTGAATGTGGTATTTGTGCCCAGAAAGTTGGAAATTACTTGCTATCACCATCTGCAAACTGAGGAACCACTTACAACCCCAGATATCGCAAAATACGATCTCCTAAAATCTACCCGTATAAAATGGGTAAGCTGGACAAGCGTGCGAAGATATCACTGCCAGTTCCTGCTCGAAGTGAGGTACCGCCGAAGTCTTCACTTGTATTGACGCAACCCACACGATCCAACGGAATTAAAGAACCCGAAGAAATGGGTTGAGTCGAGGACACATAGATGGAGGTAAATAGGGGAAAGGGTAGATGGGAAGTATAGCCTACAAAACCCAGCATCCCGCACCTACGGGACGGAAGAACGAACTATACCATTTTATTCACTGTCCCCTACCAACAGACTCACTCTTGGAGAAAAGAGATTAATCTGACGAGATGACCATTACAAGAAGCCAGGAACGGAATACACTGCAGCTGCCTTATTCCAGCTACTCTGAGGGAGTATAACACCCCAAGATAGGCCTCCGCCTTTCAGGATGTCGTCGATGGCAACAAAACAATCGGAGGATACATTACTGCTATCGCGCCGACCGGGTATCGCAGGCTTCTGCGTCATAAGAGGGAAACCAGACAAACCATAGGTCACCAGAATGGTCGGGAGAAAGTCCGCATTTAGCGACCTGCATAGAGCTGCAACCATAGCGATGCATGGAATACCCGAAACGGTGGGAGGGCCAACAAAATATAATCACTGCCTCCATGATGTCAAGCAGTGGAAATGGCTAGCGGCAAAGATGGGGCTAGAAGATGTGCCCATCAGCAGCATAAATGGATTGCAAAGACCTACCCGCCTGCAGAGCATCTGCCCACCAAGGTCTCCGGCTGTTTGTTTGAACTCCAAGGCGCCCCTCACAGTAGCCTTTATCGCATGGCACCAAGTACAAGACTAAATGGGAGGCGCTGACGATGCTGTGAAGGTAAACAATGGTCATCTAGGCCGGATGATGGTAGGCAACCTCGAAGAACGTCAGAGGCAGTACTAGTTGTGAAAGAACGTCCTGGTGAACTAACACCTGCGGATATAATTATAAATACTTCCATTACACCAACACCAGGATGCCAAGAAGAACCAACAGCCGGAGTCAGAATCCGACAAATCATCTCACTAGCCTCCACGCAAGTTCTCGTGTCTCACTAGGGCCAGAAGGTAGCTTATTGACATGCTTCTGCAGTAATGTAAGAGGTCCTCGAAGTGAATTAAAGCAGCTAGAAACGATGTGATATGACGAGCGTGCAGATATAACTTTCATCACGGAGACATAGATGTCATCAGGCACCGTGGACAGGGAAATATCTTTGTCAGGCAACCTTGTTCCGAAGGGGCGGGGGGTTTAAAGGGGGCGGTGGAGTGGCCGTGTACATTAGCACACACCTAAAGGTCAAGGAAGTGACCGATGGTGTGCACAGCCAATTACCGGACTCCTTGCGGGGGCATTTCACCATAAGCCAAACAAAGTGCCTATTAGGAAAAAACGTACGGGCCTCCTCAATGCACAACGGGGCACAAGGCACAATTCCTCACCGCCATTTCGACATCCGCCTCGGCAGCCTGTAACCATGTACTCCTCAATGGGGACTTCAACCCAACCGGCACTCAACCAAGGATATGAAGCAAGCTGTGGACACAGATCTTTTGAATGCGGACTTCGGGACACGTTTATGTCAGCAGGATTAATCGGGAAAGTTAGGGAAAATGATAGATGGGAGCCAGATGGAAAAGGATCACCACTTGACTACTTTCCAACAGACGATTATCCTTTGGTGGACGATATCTGTGTCCACTTCCCCCCCCCCTGTAAGCAAAAGCAACCGCGCTCCAGTGAAATATTCCCCCATAGCCGCGGAGCAACTGCCGGTAGTTGGGCTGGAAGGATTACGCTGTTACCAAGAGGCAGACTACTATCTCACGAACATTGGACTCCAGAAGGCTGCATGGCCACGGGAGTGGCACACACTATCGATAGATGAATACTTGATACACATTAAAGATATTATCTGAAGTGCTATCCAAGAGGGTGTTCCGAAACTAACCAGAAGACAGTCTTAACCAACTCGCGCAAACCAGTAGCAAGCACAGAGGAAACAGAAGGCGGGGTATCGGTGGCGTACACCACAAAAGGAATCAAACATCCTTAGCTTAGATAAATTTCGTAACCTATGTGATATAAGTGTTCATAAAGACGAGAACAAACGCCTGAGTAACTTGGCGAGACCACTAAGTTGCAGCCCGGAAAGCCCACATCAGTTCATGTCACAACGAGAGCCTTAGAATTAGCATCTAAATCTCATTGCAGGATCTACCAGAGAACCTTTGAATAGCGATGAGATGGTGGAACTGTTTAGCAGGCGATTTGATGAGCGGCTCAATGCAGTGATGGACTCCTAACAACTTACAGTAGTTTATCAAAGTTCCATGACAGCGATACAAGGCTGTTGGTAGTAAGGATTTCGTCATACCAAGTGTCTGGGAGACTTTCAACACTGAGAATAAGGAAGTCTCCAGGCTGCGGCGACACAAGACCAGTGACCCTACGGAACTGGGCAGAAGTGTCAAACATACCCATGTGCGACCCGTTCAGGCACTCATTGTAAGTAAGCCAACTCCCCAAAGAATGGAAACGTGCCATCGTGTACTACTCTACAAGGGAGAAGACCTAAGAAACCCACGCGATCACAGACCAATAGCGTCACTTCCCATACTATCCAAGGTACCGGGCAGCCCGGTCGTGGTTGCTGTTTGCTACCATCTAAATGGTAGCAGCATTGTTCATCTTAGCCAACATGGCCTCAGAACGGGATAGTCGTGTGCCACAGACCTGATGACCGTTTGGGACGACTGTACCGCCAGGTAGGACAACAGGCTGCCTGCACATGGTCAAGGCTTTCGCCAACGTTGCACCATTCTCGCCAAACTTACAAAAGTGGGTATCACTGAACCACTCAGCCTGGTTCGCAGCATATCTGGAGGACAGAGAATTCTGTGTTCAAGTAAGCAAAATTCGACCGGCCTGGAGCAGTACAAGAACAGGAGTTTCTCAAGGAGTCATCCTTGGGCCACTCCCATCTTTATTACTGATAAATGAACTTACTGTTCGCAGTTCTCCCTAACCCCCCCCCGTTTGCCGACGACACCAAAATATGAAAGGCAGGAGGTGGGGAGGTGAGCTTATGACACTCCAAGATAATCTGCTTCAGCTGGAGTCCCGGCCAGCTGCAAATTGTCTGTTTCAGCCTGCAGAAATGCAAGTCGGTATATCTTCTGACGCGGAAGGTGATAAAAACCAGCTACACCCTCAGCAAGCGTGCAATCACTAAAGTATCCGCAGAGAAGGACACGAGACTAAACTTCTCTGACATTGCATAGTAGTCCAAACTATAAGGAATGGCGGCAAGGGCGAATGCCATCATGCATTTTCTGAGAGGGCTTCTTGGAGTGCTAGCGTCGGGATTGTTCCCTATGTCATTTGAGATCTGTGTTAGATCACACCTGGAGGCATTCAACAAGGTAGCCTCGCTTTACTGAAGAGAGACGCGAGCACGCCCGAGATGGTACAGAGAGTGGTGACGGCTTCAACCGTCGGACTAATG